ATTAACTAAGATTTCCACCTTTAAGTAATTCCATAACTATGTAGATATAACATTAAGTTTCATATAATTCCAATAATGAAACCGTAGAATCATGATATATTGTTCTTAGAACTTTAATCTCTTTTAATAATGATTATTTGTCTAGATTAGAATTTATAAATGATTTTTCGAACATTTTTACTGCGAAATATTCTTCTGATTGTTTTTTCTTGGCTGAGTAAACCTAATAAATGTTTATAATTAATAAATACTTCTGCAAAGGCACCCTATCCTAATTTTTTTACTAATTAGAATTTCATTTTAAACTCCTCCTAAATGGTGTATCGTTTTATTATTTTAATCAAGTTTTCGATGTCACCACTTATAGAAATAACATTTAGGCCTTAAAATAATTATAAAGTGCTTGTTTATTCTCTTGAATTCTTTAAAACTTTCATTGTTGAGTTTAAATAACATATCCATTTAATGTCATTCTAAAAATAATGATATATATTACTTATTTAGTATTAGTTAATATGAACTCATTTTTTATTTAGAGAAGTTTCGTTTTCCATTTACCATTATTTATTTAAATTTTAAGATGAGCAGAAAAGGCAATTGATTAATTATCACATGGAAAGTTTTCATAACACCAGGTTGGAAATCTGGTATCGTAAGTATCAGAGAAAAAAGATTAAGTAATAGCCATTTCGTAAATATATTATAGGAATTAAATCTAATACAATCAACTTTTTGTATGGTAATTAATTTCATACAGTAAACATGTCTATATTATAGTAAATAAATTATACCATAAAATTTAATTTAAAATTAGTTTGTTTGATTGTTCTATTTGGTAAATATTTATTATTATTATTGATGACGCATTAGATAATTAAGGTTTTATGGTTAACAATTCCATTTCATAAACAGAATAAATCTTATATTTAATAATATATAGAATTATTATAATACTAATTAATAATTAATAATGAGTGCTTGTAATGTTTATCATGTTGACTAAAACATAATATTTGTGCTCAAAGATAATTAATCAAATGATAAATAGAAACAATAAAGTATGCAATTTACCAATTATAGTCCGCAAAATCAATAAGGAAAAGTTAAAAATAATCTTGTAAATAAGCGGATGCAAAGCAGCTCATTCATATTCTCTTTGTGAGAAAATATTTGAAATGATATTCAGTAAATTGTTGGGTACAAAAACACTCAATACTTTTAGAAAATTTTGATAAACAAAAGAACCATCAACCATTAAATGGATAATCTAATAAACAATTAAATTCAGCTACAATTACTGAAAAGCACTTCAAAGAATTAGTATTCAACTCTGTATTCGAAAAAAAATATATAAGAGAAAAAGAAGACCTTTATAAAGAAGATTTTTAAATTGCATGGAGTTTAACAGAGAAAAAATAGCCACTCATAATACTATTTGGTGGTACATCAGGAACTGGTAAAAGTACAGCCAGCAGTATATTAGCTTCAAGATTTGGGATTTCTACAGTCTTAAGGTATTATTATTATACTAAATTTATAGCACGGATTCTATAAGACATATAATGAGGAATTTCTTATCAAAAGAAGAAAATCCTGTTTTATTTGCAAGTACTTATGAAGCTGGTAAGACATTACCTGATCTGAATATAAGTGAATAAAGGAGGATAATAAAAGGATATAAGGCATAATGTGAATTAGTATAATAGAGATTAGAACATGTAATTAATACTTTTGATGAAAAAATGGATTCAATTATTATTGAAGGAGTACATTTAACACCTATTTTTATGATGAAAATTATGAAAAAATACAAAAGAGTATTACCATTTGCAATTTGTATTAAAAAAGAATCAAAACATAAAGAAAGATTTGCTGTTAGATCTAAATATATGACTTTGGATTCTAGACATAATAAATATGTTGAGAATTTTTAAAATATTAGATTGATTTAAAAATGGTTTTTAGAAAAGGCTGATGAATTCCTTATTCCAAAAGTAGATAATGTTAATATTGATAAAAGTATAGATATTATACATAGAACTATTATTTAATATATGAAACATTTATCAGATGATCAATCTGTTACAGAACTTAAAAATGCTTTACCCATTTATGAAGAATTCAATAAAGTTATAAGTGATGCATGGAGTTCAAAAGAAGTTAAAGATTATATTCATAGTTAAGTTAATAAAACAGAAATCTATGAATAATTCTTATAAAAGATGAATGAATAATAAGCAGACACTAATACAACTATTACTTAAGAAATAGAAAAAGTCAATCCAAAAGTTTTGATTTAATAATCAGTATAGAAATTTAATGAAATCAGTTTTAAAAATGAAAATAGAGATAATCAAAATAATTTAACTAATACAACTGAAGTTAATTATATAATTGATGATTAAGATGAAAAAAAAGAGAATCTAAATCATATAAGTGATTAAGAAGATTAAAATGAAGAGAGAAGAAGAAGAAATTAAGATAATAATGCTAATCCAACTCTTAAAAAAACTAAATCATTAAAAACATTAATAAAATAAAATGAAATTGAATAACAAATATAAGAACCTATAAAAGAGTAAAATAGTAAAAAGAATTTGAAAGTGGCATTTTAAGAACCTGAATTTGAGAAAGAGGAATAAGAATAAACTGAATAAAGACCTCATAGAACAGATTATAAAGGCATTTTATATCATTTAACTAAACATAAAAGAATTTTCTTAAGTAAAAAGACAAAACCATCAAATTTAGTATTTATTAAGAAGATGATATCTAATTATAATAAAAGTTATTAAAGTCATGATAGAATTAAATTAATATAAAATAATGATGGTAGTTATTGTTTATTTAAAATGAATGTATAAAAGTTCATTAAGAAATGTGATTCAAGAGATGAATCTTCAAGTGAACCTGATGATAAGTATATATTTATTGTTAATTATATTCTAGTGAATAATCAATTGTTTAATAAGGTAGATCACTTATGACTCTCTCAAACTTTCCATTTAGTGAAAGAAGAGATTAATCAGATGGAGATTCTGTAAGATTCAGAAATGATGTAAATAGTGATGAAGAGGAAATAGAAAATGAAAATGAAAATGATAATTCTGTTGAAGGTAATTTAAATAAAACTATTATTAGCATCTAGTTCTGATGAAGAAGAAGGTAATCTAGAAAAAGTTAAATTGAAAATGAATGATGATGAAGAAGATTATATTGAATTATAAAAGATTATTGAAGAAGATGAATAAATTAATGAATAGGATGAAATTATGGAAACTCCATTATAAGTTTAATTACTTGATTAATAAGATTATTCAGATTAATCCCCTTGATATTATACAAATTTTACTTATATCATTATTTTAATATGAATCTTAACTCTTATTATTATTTACTTATTTTTCTAATTTTTTTATTTTCTCAATATCTAAAAATAATATAATTAAATCTTTAAAAGTATATATTCAGTTAATATATGTTATTAAATAATTATATCACTTTATTATAATGTCTTATTGTTTTTCTAGAATAGTAAACACTTTAAAATGAAAATTAAATTATCATAATTCTTATTAATTATATTAACTCAAATGATTCCTACAATTATTCATTTAGTGCAATTGATTGTGCACACATACTTTATGTATATCAATTTTGATTCAAAATCAATCGAAGAATTTTGGAACTAAATCAAGTATTTGACAAATATTAGCAATTTGTGCATGTACTCCTTCCTCATTCCACAAATTGTTGAAGACATCAAATTCATTCGTAGAAGAGGATGGCTCATCAATATCCCAAGACATCATACTTTCACTCACTATGCATACTAGTGCATGAATCCAATTATATTCATAGTTATGACAATGTTTTGGACTATGTTTCTCATTGATCCAAAGTTAATCTTTGCTGATAGAGATATTAGTTAAATTGATATGGTCCTCATGTTTTATGTTCATGGAGGAAACTGGATCTTAATGTAAGAAATTTAACTATTTTTAGGTAACTCAACCAATTCGAAAAATAACCTCATTTAAAGATGAGAGTCAAAGGACTAATCTACTTTGTCTATGTTATACTTTACTTTGGAATTTATGGTATGTATATATATAATATATTTAAATAGGCCTTCATTATTTGATTTATGAATAGCATGTCTACGGCTTCCAAGCATTACTCTCTAAGTTCGAACTTGTCTCCATGTATGCCATTTTATTTGCCACACTATTTGGCTTGGATGTTCTTTACAATAAGGTGTTATTCAAGCCACGCCATAATTTTGTGTAAATCAAAAATCATTGACGTTCATTAACTAATTATAATGTATCTTATAATATGTAATAATCGTTAATTATTATTAATAATTTTATTTATTATATTAATTAAAATAATTATAATTAATATAATACTATATATGATCATCATTAATACAATAAATAGAATATACTAAATACTTTATTATAGATGAATCTCTTAGTAATAATAATTAAAATTATTTAACTCATTTATGTAATTTTATTAATATAAAAGAATAATTAAATAATTAACCTTAAGAACTTATAAATTAAAATATAAATACCTTTTTCATCTATAAATAATAAAATAAGATAAAAGACTTTTATAATATTAATGTAGCAGTCAATAAATAAAATTATTATATATCAATAATCTATTGTATATTATTATCAAGTATGAAAGATAAGTAATAAATTAAAAGTATAAATTGATTATAACCTTATTGAATATATATTATTAAATGAATAACTTTTCTAATATAATGTTTGATAATCATAAATCTATTCTAACTTTAAATAAAAAATGATTGATCCTCATTGTATATTAGTATACATATTTTCTTCTTTTGATGAGGGTAATTATTCTATTATATTTCTATAAGTATTTTATATAGAAGAATCAACTTTAAATTCTTAAATAGTTATTATAAAATTCTTAAAAGTTTATAAATATATTAACTTAATATATAGTTATCAACAAATTCAGTCCAAGTTAAATGTTAATCTTCTTGTAGCACTACAATTAATTCTATCCTTCTCTTTATCATCTTTAGATTCTTTAATTTTTGTAGTTTAAATTGAAGGAGAATGAACCTTTGGTTATGGTGTCTACAAAAACTCTTTTTACTCTATTATTTTTGATTCTTCTCCTAAATTTGGTTTTTCTACAGAATTCTTTCCCTGGATAGAGAAACTTTCGAATAATTTTTCAATCTCTTTCCATGCTTCATTTATATCGATCTTATTTCTATTATAAAAGAACTGCTTTTTTTATTTCTTTCCTTTTGTTTCTCCTTCATCTCTCATTGGAGAATTATTCTTGGAAACTGATTCTTTAATTAAATTCTCAATCTCTTATTCGAATTCTTAGTTACTTTTCATTATTTTATTTTATTATTGATAAATTTTTATTGACAAAATTTGAGCATGTAATTAATCATAATATATTTATAATTAATTTTTCAAAATTATATTAAACAGAATATGAAATAATCTTATTTATATGAATGACCAATAGATAATTCTTAAAATAATCTGTTAATATTCCTATTAAAGTTACAAAATTTAATATAAAATGCATTGCTAATTTTAATATTCATCTAGAATATCATATTAATTAATAAATATATGTAATTAACATTTATACAAAGGATATTAAAAATATAAGTATTTTAGAAAACTTTAATTATCTTATTAAAATAACTTCTATAATATATTATAAATAAGCCAATATTTTTATTAGATTCTATTAATTACTTAAATTATTAGTATTTTTTTTAATCTAATATTTTATTTATATCAAATAATATAAAATTCAGAATGAAAATGATTGTAATAGTTATTTAATTAATTTTTCAGTATAATTTTTAGTATTTATTTAGATAAAAACAATAATTTATTAGTATAAGATTAACGTTATTAATTAATGCTTATAGATTGATTCATAATAATAAAACAATTGTTTTATATTAGTTTTATTATTTCATCAATTTATATTAAAAATTAATATTAACACACCACATCATGTCATTATTTGCTTCTTATGCAAAATTGAAAAGAAAGACATTTTGGGTTGTAAGATATGTTGAAGTGTCATAAGATGTAAGTATTACAATGAACATTAATAGGGAATATTGATGTATAGAGACAGAAAAGAGGATAAACAAAATAAAGCTGAATTTAGATTAATTCATTGCAAAGTGAAAGAATTATCAACAAATAATGGTTTTTAGATATAAATATTTCATGGTGATGATTCATTGAAAATTATGGCTCACACAAATTAAGAGCATAAAAAAATTGTATAAGCAATCACTTAGATTAAATAAAAATCTGAATAGAAATAAGAAATCTAAGTTCAAGCACAAGAATAATATTAGTAAGTCAGATAGACTATAGTGCCTTCAATTATCATTTAATAAGTAAAACCACCTACATTTCAACCTGATAATGATTTGATTAAATAAGGTCAAGGGGATTAAATTAAAATGTAAGCATTACAAATGATAAAGAAATATGAGTCTCAATAGTTAACATTAATTAATGTTATTGATGGAATATTTTTTTATAAAACTGAAAAAGTAGAAAAAAATAATTAAGAAACTGAAAAGTAGTCAAATATCATCAGTCTAATTTCAGATGAAATAAAAAATGTTGGATATTTATTAACAATTGCTATAGCCATTATATTCTTTACTTTATTATCAATATTGGTCTATTTATTATTGAGTCTAGTAGATAATAGAACTTATACATATAGTATACTTATTACATTAAATATCATTATTTTACCATTGTTATTAAATAAATATAGTCCTCCCAAAAAGACAGAAAAATTACAATAATTTATGGTTTAATGTAAATGTTTAATGAATGTGGATTATAATGCTTTGGTTTATTTGATTGGTAAGTTTGAAGTTAGAAAAGATTGGACTCCAAATCTATTATTAATAAATAATGATAAAAATTTAATTACAGCATTATATTCAAATTAATTGGTTGAAAAATTTACTTAAGCAGTATTTTATGATGAAGATACTTTTTATGTAGTTGAACATTTTAATTTAAAAATCTTGAGATTATTTGTTATCAAATATCTCTTTGAAGAAGATAATCTAGAAGTTAGATGTATTACAGATAATACACAAATGTAGATATTGCCTTGTCTTAAACAATTTATCAAAATTCAAAAATAGAATCCAAAAAGCATTTTAATTGAATATCAAGCTTCTAAAACATCTATTGATTAGATATCTGTTATTTAATCAGAAATCATATACAAATAGCCTGATTATTCTAAAATTACTTAATCTCCAGTTTAATCCATCTCTGTTGAATAATAACCTTCAACTATTCTATCTAATTCTCCTAGATAAATATCACAATTTTAATAATTGCCTTAAAAACCATAATAATAATCACAATTATAGTAACCATAGTAATAATAATAATAATAATAATAATAATAATAATAATAATAATAATAATAATAATAATAATAATAATAATAATAATAATAATAATAATAATAATAATAATAATAATAATAATAATAATAATAATAATAATAATAATAATAATAATAATAATAATAATAATAATAATAATAATAATAATAATAATAATAATAATAATAATAATAATAATAATAATAATAATAATAATAATAATAATAATAATAATAATAATAATAATAATAATAATAATAATAATAATAATAATAATAATAATAATAATAATAATAATAATAATAATAATAATAATAATAATAATAATAATAATAATAATAATAATAATAATAATAATAATAATAATAATAATAATAATAATAATAATAATAATAATAATAATAATAATAATAATAATAATAATAATAATAATAATAATAATAATAATAATAATAATAATAATAATAATAATAATAATAATAATAATAATAATAATAATAATAATAATAATAATAATAATAATAATAATAATAATAATAATAATAATAATAATAATAATAATAATAATAATAATAATAATAATAATAATAATAATAATAATAATAATAATAATAATAATAATAATAATAATAATAATAATAATAATAATAATAATAATAATAATAATAATAATAATAATAATAATAATAATAATAATAATAATAATACAGTCCTGAAATCTAAAAAATATTTGATTTAACTATTGAGGCAAAAAAATAATTAGAATCTGTTTACCCTTTAGGACCTTCTTGGTAATAGAAGGATGACAAAGGAGGATTCTTAATTCATACTAGATATGATGAAGCAACAGGTTAGACTATGAGTAGAGGAGAAGGGATATTACCTTATTCAATATAAGAGATATTTGAAATTATTGAGAAGGTTGAGAAGAGAGGGGATTATGATTCTCTCTTTGATTCAGTAAATAAATTTATTTATTTTAGGGTTATATGGTTAAAAAATTGGATCCTGATACAGGTATTGTGTACTAAAGATTTAAGACTATTAAATTAGTAGTTAAATCAAGAGATTTTGTATTTGTAACAAGAATCTTTAGAGAAGAAAATAGATGGGTAGTTATTGCAAAATCAATTGAATATCCAGAATTACCTCCTATAAAAGATTCAGTGAGAGGGGATTTAAAGATAGCTGGATGGATTTTATAAAAAACAGAATAAGGAACAAAGACTTGTTTCATCACAATGGTAGATCCAAAAGGATCAATACCAGCTGCTATTGTTGCTAGTTCTGCTAAGGAATAAGGACAATGTGTAGAAAAAGTAAAGGTTCTATTAGATAAAAGAAATAAAAAGTGATGAATTAATTGTGAATTAATTTAAAAAGTTTATAATAATTCAAATTCGCGAATTCTTAAAATTATATATATATTTTTAAGAATTCCCACTTTCCCAAACTTAATTATTTATTATAAACTTAGTTCTAAATTTAATAATATGTAAAGAATACACCCAGAATAAGAAATTAAAGGTTTAAAGATAATAAAATCTGCTACAACCAATATATCATCTAGAACCTTATAAAATAGAAAAGCTGTTGATTTAGTATTTGATGATATCTATTACACAGTTCAGAATGGAAAATGTATATATATTGAATATAAAATTAGCTGAAAGAGTGATTTTAGATCATGTATCTGGAATATGCCCAGGAGGATAAACAACAGCAATATTAGGGAGTTCTGGAGCTGGAAAAACGTCACTCTTAAATGTTTTAGCCTGCAGAATAATAAACAATAAGCATTGTAAGTTGACAGGTGAACTGTATGCAAATTAGGATAAATATAATTATGACAAGTTTAGTGAGTTTGCATCTTATGTAATGTAAAATGATGTTCTATTGGAAACAATGACTCCAAAAGAAGCCTTTACTTTTGTATCTAGTTTGAAATACAATGATGAAGAAACAAAAAAATTGAGAGTAGATGAAACAATAAAGAGCATGAGATTAGAGAAATGTTAGAATAGTAGAGTTGGAGGGGCAATGGTAAAAGGAATCAGTGGAGGAGAAAGAAAAAGAACATCTATTGGTTATGAATTAGTTTCAAATCCTAGTGTTATTCTTTTGGATGAACCTACTTCTGGTTTAGATTCATTTACTGCATTTTAAATTATGTATATAATTTTAATTGATAATTTAGACATTAATTAAAATTACTTGCCAAAGATTAGGACAAAACAATTATTTTTACAATCCATTAACCTAGTTCAGATATATTTTTATTGTTTGATAGAGTTATGTTATTAGTTTAGGGTAAATTAATTTATTAAGGAGATAGAGGTAAAATTATTAGTTATTTCAAATCTTTTGGATTTGAATGTCCTACTCATTCTAATCCTATGGATTATTTAATATCTATTACTCATAGTGAAGATCCAAAGAATGTAGAGACATATCCTCTTTATTATTAGAATTATGAATTGTAATTGGCAAATGAAATTAGATAAGAAATTAATAATCGCAATTAATCAAGCATAGTATATAAATCAATTGAAACTACAATATCTTATTAGATAGGATTGTTAACAAAAAGATGTTTTGTGAATTTTAGTAGAGATGATATGTAAATGAAAGCTAGAATAGGATCAGCAATATTCTAAGGATTATTACATGGAGGAGTATTTTGGGAAGCTGCAAAGGATTCAGAGACAATTTCTGATGTTAGAAACATTGCAGGATCATTATATTTCCTATGTGTTAATTTTGCTATAGGAAGTATGATGTAAGTAGTACTAGGTTTTGCTGTTGAAAGAGAAGTATTTTTAAGAGAAGAAAATTCTAAATTATATTCAGCATTATCATATTTTATAGGAAAATAATTTGTAGAAGTCCCATTTTGTATACTTTAACCTTTAATTTTATAAATCATATCTTATTGGATGATAAGTTATAATGATTATGATGTCTCAATAGTCATAATCAACTTTTTTGTATGTATTTTACTATGTATTTGTGCAAATTCTTTGGGTTTGATGGCTGGTTGTGCATTTAGAGATATTAAATTAGCATTGACAGCTGTTCCTATTATTATGATGCCAGTAATATTATTATCTGGTTATATGGCAAATTCTAAGAATTTTCCAGTATGGTTTGGATGGTTACAATATTTGAGTCCAGTAAGGTATGCTTATGAAGCAATTTCATTAAATGAATTCACTCATCGTAGTTTTTAAATTGATCCAACAGATTTATATGATTTTCATATAGGAATGTGGAATTGTATTTATATACTAATTGGATTTATTGTTGGATTTAGAGTGTTTGCATATTTCTTTTTAAAAGGATTGAGAGAAAGACTATAATGAATTAATTTTTTGTTAGATTATGAATTATTGTTTTTGATATATTAATTTATTTTATCGATTTAAAGTTTTTATTTATATATAATATGAATAAATATGTTTAATAAATTGTTAATAAATTCAAATTTTGAAACATATATCATTAATTTATTTGACTAAAATATAAAGTAAATTAAAGTTTGAATATTCTAAATGAAAATATTTATACAGATTATATAATCTTAAATTTAATATTTAATAGATTCTAACTTACAATATTATACCTTTTTTATTAGATATAAATATAATTATATTAATTCAAATCATCTAAACAAAAATTATTTCAACTAATTAAAATTTCAATAACAATAAATTTAATTTTATATGAGCTACACACCACAGCAATAGGAAGAAATTAGAGCAGTTTATTAAAGAAATCAATAACTTGAGATGCAAGTTAAGGCTTCTCTGAATGAAGTACAGCAACTAAATCAAAGATTGCAAATGTAAGAACAAGCTTTCAAACAATCATAATAATCATTGAATTAGCAATTGTAAAAGCTATCACAAGATTTATCTATTAAAACTTAGTAGTTAGTTAATTCTGAATAACAATTCAAAAGATAATTGGATCATACTAATGAATAATTGAATATCGTTAAATAATAATCTCAATTGAGAATAGACTAACTTTCATAAGAATTAAAACTAAAAACCACAGCTTTTGATAAAGCATCTAATGAGTTATAAGCAGCTAAACATGAAATATTGCTTTTATAGAAAAATGCTGAAAATTTGAATGTAGTTAAATCTTAATAACTTGTCTAATAAGATGCTAATGCCAAAAGAGTAATTGATGATTTGAATGATAAATTAAGACTCATTTCAGTTCAATCTCAAAAATAAATAGAACAATTATAATAAGAATTAGCTATAAAGAAATAAGAAATTGATCGACTCAATTAAGATCTTGTTTCTAAAAAGAATGAAATTTATTAATAATAATAAAAGATTGAAGCTACCAATATTGCTAAGAATAATTAGATTTCTTAATTGGAATCTTTGTCAAAGAAATAATTGCAAGAATACAATGACAAACTCAATTAATTCTAATCATAAGCTTAAATGAGAATTGATTAACTCAATTAAGATATTAGTAATAAAACTGCAATGCTCGAAAAAGCAAATTAAGAGATTGCTCAAAAAAAACAAGAAATATAAAATAATAATAAACATTTTGAATAAGTTAGCAATTAATACCAATAAAAAATTTAAGAGATGATGGGTAGATTAAATGAACTTCAATTGTAGGCAGAGAAAGAATAAAATCAATTTGGAAGAACTAAAGAAGATTTCTAAGTCAAAGTGTAGAATTTATCTAGAGATTTAAGTATTTAATAATAATAAAGTAATTAATTTGCTTAGGCTATGTAAAAAGAGAATTAATAATTAAAATAAGAAATTATTAATTTATAATAACAAATAGCTTAAAGACATTAATAATATAGTGAATAGAAATCATAAGCAGATGCTCAGATCAATAAGTTGAATATAGAAATTAGTAAATTAAAGACTGATTTAGCAGTTAAAGAATAATAATTAGAATCAATTGAGTAGTAATTCAATTAATATAAGAATACAACAACTAAATAGATAGATTCAATGATTTAATAATTTGAATAGAGATAAAGTGAAATTCATTAAGATAATGAAATTTAATCTAATAGAATAATTAGTTAAAATAAATAAATACTTGAGAAAACAGTTGAAGAACATAAGAAATAAATTGAATAATTGGATAAATTTTGGAATGACAAATATAAATAATTAAGTGAATAAGGTGGATAAGATTAATAGAGAATTACTTAATAATATTTAACAATTATAGCTGAGAATGAAAGAAAGTTTTAAAATTTATTTAAAAATTAAGAACAATCATATTTATCTTAATTAGAAGCTTAAGAATAACATTTTGAGATGCAAATAAATTAATTATCAAATTAATTAAAATAGATAAGTGGAGATAAGGAATCTTTGCATACATAATTGATTACTGCTTAAGCATAATTAAGAGATTTTGATTAAAAAGTTAGAGAATTACATTATCATGGTTAAACTAAATCAGAGTAGGCATATTTATAGATAAATGGATTATAAAGTAGTAAGGAAGGTAATGAATAAAAATTATTATTAAATAGAATTGTTTGCATTTATAAAAGAGAAATAGATTGAGTATGATTCTAAAGTGTTTGAATTACAACAATAAATGTAAAGTTTAGCTAGTAATAAGGAGGCAGTAGAGAAAGAATTGAGTTTGGAGAGAGTAGTAAAAGATGGTTTAAAAAAGGAGATTTTATAAATAACAAATTAATAGTAAATGAAGGATATGGAAATAAGAAATGAGATATCTTTAAAGAATTCAGAAATAATTAAATTAAATAAAGAAGTAGAAAGATTGGATGGATTATTTAAATAAGCAACTTTGGAATTAAAGAGAATAAATGAATAGAATGAAGATTTAAAATTAATTGATGATTTTTAATTAAAAGAGAAAGATTTAGAAATATCTAAATTAAAATAAATAGAAATTGAATTGAAAAATAGAATTTAATAATTATAAAAATAATTATCAAATTAGGAATGGTAATTATAATAAGAAAATATTAAATTAAAATAATAAGTTAAAGATCTTAATAATGATTTAAGTATATTAAATACAAGAATTAATATGCTTAAAACATAAAATAAAGATGAATCAGAAAGATATTAAGAATTATTATAATCTCATGATATAGAATTATAGAGTTGGGCAGATAGATATAAAGATTAATCATAACAAATTGAAACTATGGCATAATAATTATTTGCAGCTCAATAATAAAATAAATATAAAGAATAACTTATTTTTGAATATGATAAATTAAAATAAGAATTTGATTAATTGAATAGATAATATCAATTATTATAAGAGAATAGTTTGAGAAATAGTAATATTAAGGAAAATGCAAAAAATGTAGAAATATAATAATTATAAGAACATTATGAATAATAAGTTATATAATTTTAAAAAGAAATAGATTTTATGAGAGATAATAAAATTAATTAAAGATAAGATACATCAGTAATTGATTTTAGTGTATAAATTACTGCATTAAATGATCAATTAGTTAAGAAAAATAATGAAATTACAAATATTAGAATGTAAGCTAATAGGACAATAATGGAAAAAGATAATTAAATTATATTATTGTAAGAATAATTAGAATAATTGATATCAAAGGTAGATATTATAGAATATAATTAAAATGATTAAGCAGAAGCAATAGAAAAGGCAGAGAATTTAGAATTGATTTTAAATGAAAAAGATAAATTTATTGTTTAATTAAAAGAAGAATTAAAGAATTGTAAAGATTAAATATTAGAATTAGAAGAATAATTAAAAATTAGATAAAATTCATTAGATATGATATAATAATAAGCTTCTTTAATTTCTGAACTTAAATCTTAAGTAGAGAAAAGATAAGTAGAAAATTAATATAGTGTTTAACCAAAACCAGTTTAATAATGTTTTACTAAAAGTATAAGAAGTTCTACTCATAGGATGAGTGGAAAGAAAAGTTAAACTAATGAAGAATCTTAAAAAGAAATTATTTCTTATGTATAAAAAGTAACTGATGTATCATTTAAATAATAATCAAATTAATAAATAATATCAATTGTGAATCCATAAATAAGTGAAACTAGATAGATATTAAGATAATCATAAGAAGAAGTATAATAAAGGAATTTATTAAATTAATCTATTATGGTATTATAATAAGAATTAAAGTAAGTTAAATTAAATTTATCAAATGAATAATAAGTATCAAGTTAATTAAAATTTGAATTATCTTAAGCTAATGCTAAAATTGAATAATTATTAGTTGAATAATCTTAATTGAAAAATAAATAATAATAAAATGGTATATATATTTCAATTACTATTTTATAGATAATTAAAATATTGACCAATTAAATACGATGAATATGAAAACTTATGAATCAAATATTCAAAGTTTGAAATCTGAAAATTAAGATTTATAATAGAAATCAGTTGAATAAGAATTATAATTGAATAAATTTTCCTAAAGAATAAATGAACTTTAGAATGAAATAAAAAAGTAGAAAGAATAAATATAATAATTGAATGATTCAGAAAATTAAAAAGAAAATAAAATATTTGAATTATAAAGCATTGTTGATAGATTACAAAATAATCTAAAATCTGAATAATCTATTGTCAGATAAAAGTAATCTGAAGTTAAATAGATTACTTATTAATAAGAATAAATCTAATAAATGCTTTAATAGGAATATTAAGAAATAAAGAAAAATAATAATGAATTATCTTAATAAAAATTAAAATTAGAATTAGAAATTTAAGAATTAAAATCATAATTACAATAATCTTAAGTTACATAACAACTTTATGAATCTAAAATTACTAAATTAAATACAGAAATAATATAAGTAAGAGAGAAATTAGTTTAATTTGAATAAATATAAATTTAAATTGAATAGAATAAGACTTAAATTAATTAGAATAGTGAATAATAATAATATTAATAATAAATTTAAGAATTAATAAATAAATTAGAAAAGTAATAATAATAAAATAATTTAAAATAATAATAATTAAATAATTAATTATAGATTCTTAATGAATAATATTAAGATGCAATTTTCAAATTTGAAAATAGTTAAGAATAAATTAAATAATTATAAAATAGTCTTACATAATAAAAGTAATAATATTTGAATGATATGAATGAAAATTCTTAGATATTATCAATAAGAAATTAAGAAAATTCAAATCTAAAAATATAGATTGATCATTTAACTTAATAATTGAATGCATACAAAGAATCTAATACAAATGTTTAGAAATGGTAGACTTAAGTAGATATATTGTAAAAGTAATTACGTGAAGAAAAATTACAATAATAAGAGTAAATTATAATAATTATTATTTTAGTTTAAATAATTAATTGTAAAACTAATTATTTTAATTTCAATAATCAAAACGTGAATGGCAAGACTTAATATAGAGATTGTAAGAAGATAATAATCAATTATAAACTAATCTCAATAGAGTTTTAACAGCCAGATCAGATAAAGAATAGATAGATAATTATTCACATTAATAAAATTAAAACATTTAAATAACTACAAATACTATTAAAACTTAATTCATGAGTAATACATAAGGATTATCATCAGAAAAGATATTAATTGAATTATAGATTGCTTAAGAAGAAAATGTTAAATTGATTAGTTAATTATAAGTTCTTTAATTAAATAATAAATAGTTAAATAAAGAGATTTAAGATTTTGATGAAAAACAAAAACAATTAGAAAATAGATATAAGGATTAATATTTGAGAGCATAATTAGAACATGATCTTTCATTTAAAAAGATTGAATAAGAAAATGTGAAATTAATTAGTTAAGTTGAAGTATATTAAAAAAAGTAATAACAATAAGAAATTCTAATTGATGATTACATAGCATAGATTGAAAAATTAAATATTATTAATAATTAACTATAATCTTAGTTATTATTAGTTTAAAAGGATAATTCTAATTTTTATAAAGATTAAGATAAATAGATTTATAAATTGAGTGAAATCAATTAATAATTATTAACTTAAATAACATAATTAAATAATTAAAGGAATACAGATTAATTGTAAATTAAAGATTTAATGGTTATTAAATAAACATTAGATGAATAATTGAGTAAACATTCAGAAGAAATAATATCATTAAATGAAAGACTTAAAGATCTATCTGATTAAAATACTTAATTAACTCATATGAATTCAGAATATTTAAATTAAATAACTGGTTTTTAAGTTTAGATTTCTGAATTGTAAAATAAATTATCACAAAATATATATGAATACAAACCAAGATATAGTGATTAATAACCTAGATAGTCTACTTCTAATAATAGTAGATAAATTGAAGAATTAAATAATAAGATTATAAGTCTTAATAATTAAGTTAATATTTTGAATTAATAAAAATCTAATATTTAATAAGAATTATTTTCAGTAAGAAAATAATTATAAAATGAATAAGATGATAAATTATCATAATAATCTCGATAATCTAGAACAAATTAATATAAAATATTAAGTGAAATGGAAGAAAGAATTAGATAATTGTAATAATAACTTGAAGAGGAAAGATTAGGGAAATCAATGAATAATGGTGAAATTGAATTGAAAAATAGATAAATTATGATTTTAGAATAAAATAATAAAAAATTATAATAATAATTGGAATAATTGAATCTTTAGATAGAAGAGGAGAAAACTTTACTTTATAAGGAGATTGATTAATTATCTGAGTAAAATAAACGAACAAAATAATAGAAGAATTCTGAGTATGATATAGAATATAGAAATTCAATTAAATAAAAGGAAACAATTTAATAGGAATTAATTTAAGCAAATTAATAAATTAAGAAATAGTAAAGTCGTATAACAATTTTAGAAGATTAAATTACAAAATTAACTAATGGATCTATAGATATGGAAAGATAAAATAGATTTATAATAGAATTAGAAGATAAACTTAAAATAAATTAACGTAAATATGAAATAGAAATTAAGGAACTTAAAAATGATAAACAATCTCTAAATTAATAATTAGAAAATGTTTAATAAGAATTAGAAGAAATTAAATCAAAATATCATATTGAAATAGAAAAAACAGAATAAAAATTATAAAAAGAAAATTAAAGATTTTCTTTATAATTAAATGATAAAGCAGCTTATTTGAGTTAATTAGAAGTTAAAAATAGATAATTAAAAGAAGAAATTTTGAATTAATAAGAAAGATATGATGAAAAATTAAGATAAGCTAATGAAAGAATAAAAGAAGTAACTGAAGATTTAGAGACTATGATTGATAATTATAAAAAAGAAAAATAAGTATTTAATAATATAATTATTATTTTAGTTAAGTTAAAAATGGGAAAAATAGAATGAAGATTTACGTAGATAATTATAATCATAAGTTGATGATATTAAAATAAAGACTGAAAGATTAAGTGTTGAAAAATATGAAAGAATGTCTTTAGATAGTAGAAAGTAAATTGAACAAATTTAATAATAATTAAATAATGAAATAAATGGATTGAAATAAGAAATTAGATAAAAAAATGAATAAATTAATTAGTTAAAATCTACTAATTAATCTCTTTAATAAAAATTGAATAAATTTGAAACATATATTAGAGATTTAGAAGATTAATTGTAATAATTTTCAAATAAAGAAGAGTAATTATTAAGAGAATTGAATTAATCAAAAAATTAATCTTTAGCAGATTCATTAAATGTAAAAGTAATTGCATTAGAAAACAATCTAGTTAAAGCTTAATAAAGAGAAGAATAATTAATATAAAAAATAAGATAATTAGAAAATTAATAAAATTCAAATAGAAATAATTCTGATTATAGAAATTTAGAAATAAAAAACAATAATATGTTTGAAGAAATCTAAATTTTAGTTTAGACAATTAAAAGTTAAGATCAAGAAATTGCTAATTTAAAAAATGAATTAACTTCCTATTAAAGAGAAGTATCATTCATGAAAGAGGTTGTTAAGGAAGATACTAGTAGATTAGAGACATCTATTTTAGATGATAAGAATAGAAGAATAGTAGAATTAGAGAATAAGTGTGCATTACTTGCTAATGAGAACACTAGACTCAATTAATTAAAAGTATTATATTTTTATTAAATTTTTAGATGAAATAAGTTGATGAATGGAAATTAAAATATGATAAATTACAATTAGAATTAGAGAAAAGTTTAAATATGAAAGGTTGGGATGATCAATCAAGAAATATTGTAATGTCTAGTAATTTTGGATATTTATCCAATGTTAAATGAAATATATAATTATATTAAAAGTTATTTCTATATCTTTTTACTTATTTTTAATCAATTAAATAAATTTCTTCATTCTAATAAATAGAGTTTCCTATTTTTTTCATTTTATCTTTTTCTCCAACAATAATATCCAATACCCAAACATATTAAAATCACAAATATAAGTACCCATATTTACCAGAATGTGAAGTAATCATATACTACATCTATTTATACTAATTAAACTGTTGAATTGAATCCATTAGAAACATTAAATAAGATTTCTTGATTCTCTATTTTTCCATTTATACATAATTTTAAATCATCATTAAGAATGTATTTATTATAGAATTTCTCTTTCTTCTCATTTAAACTATATAAAAAAACCTAAAAATAAATTAATTTAATTACTTCATTAATTTCACTTATTATTTCGAAATTATAATCTGATTAAGCTTAAACTTAAATTCCTCCAATTTATGTAATAACTTCTTATTATCCTTATTTATATAATGTTAAGATGCTTTATTCATCCTTTTGATATTAAATTATCACCTTATTTTTATAACTAATTGATTTTACAGCTATCCAATCTGCATAATTTTAGAATACAATTAATTTATCTTTTTATACACTTATTTTTGGAGTAAATTCAAATAGTATTTAAAAATGTAAATATGTTTAAGAAATAAACAAAAACTCTTACTTTATTGTTTCATTTATTTTATTAGAACTAATTATATGTAAATTTAACCATTCTTCTTATACTTTTTAAAATCCATGATTTTCTATGATTTTATTAATATCAATCATATATTTCTATTAATTAACTTATTAAATAGATTATTTTGGATCTAATTGTAAAATATTTAATTAAAAGTCATAATAATAAATATAATAAAAGGGTTTAATTTCTTTTATATTCATATAATATCCTTCTAATTGTATATTTATAACTAATTGACATTCATTTAATTTAAAATTTTCATTAGAACATTTATAAAAAGTAATTTAAGATTTTTCAATCAAAAATAAATCTTAACCAAATATAGCAATATTTAATAGTTTGGAATTTATTATTAAATTTTCTTAATCAATTTTAAAAGTATTATTAATATATCTCCATTAAATTATATATAAAGATTCTTATATAATGCATTTTAAAAGAATCTTTGAAGAAGATTAATACAATATTTAAGTACATTTATAATCAAATTGTATTTCTTAAATGATTTATTTATTATCTTTTTATAATATAGTAAATTTATTTTGATACAAAATGATCATTGAATTAAGATCCAATTCTTTAATATCTAAACCAGCTTCAACATAATTTATTTCATATAAATTTAGATATTATTTTAATTAAATTTCATTATTACAATCTCTACATTTGATTTCTATATTTGTTACAATTGAATTTTGAATCCAATCATCTGAAATTTTATCACAAAAGTCTTAATATTTTTTACTTAATTTTGTAGTCACATTAATATTATCTTGATTAAGTTGAATTGATGTTTACATGTTTCTAATAGTTTCAACTGAAGATAGTATTATATTCTAATTCTAATTTTATATATATGTTGTCATATTAATTTGACCTATAAAAATTGTATTTAGCATTTTACAATTTGATGTAATTTAAAATTGATCATAAAATTCAATAATAGTATTCTCTTTTATAAATAGTTTATTATTAAAGGCAGACAGAAATCTTTCTTCAAAATTATCAAATACATGCCATAATGAATTAACATTTATTTTATTTATATTATAAACTAAAAGTTTATTATCAGAGATAATATAAATCCATCCATCATATGTATATCTTATTGCAATATTCATTTTATAACCAAATGAATACAATTATCTGACAAAATGAATATTTTCTTATTGAGTCATATCATATATTAAATATTGATTTTCTATCATTATTGCAAAGTATTTTTCAAATATTAAAATATCTTAAACTTTATTCTCAAATTTTAAGATATCAATTATAGAAAATCCAATCAAAGAACAACTTAAAATAATTACTTCAGTATCATTCTAATTTCTAACAAATACTATGTTACTGTATTGATTAGCATGAATGTTTGAAGGTGTCCATTATTTCACTCCCAAATCCTATATGGTTTAGGTATTAATCTCAAATAGGTTTATTAAATCAATATAAGAGTAATAGTAGGCTGCGATTGTAGAATTAGTTAATGATAAATAAAGTAGAACTTCTTTGCTTTTTTAAATTTTATCAACTTAATATTTAGTAGTGAATATATGATTGAATAATTTTTTATTTTAAACTTAATAAACTTAAATGGAATATGGTTCTATTTATGGATACGCTATAAACATAGTATTAGATGAAGTCCAAGTACATGAATTATTTTACCTTAAATAATCTAATTTTTTCATTATTTCAAATATCTAACAAGTAGAATTAACAACTGAACAATATGTTAATTGAACCCAATCATTATTAAATTATTTAACTACCAAATATTCTTATTCTATTTATTCAACTTAAAAAAAAGTTAAAGAATTATTGCTTGGTTGAATCTATATTATTTACTAATCAAATTTTTTGATTATTATGTTAAGATTGACTAGAGTATTGGAAATATTTAATATTCTTAATTATAAGTTCTACCCATAAATAGCTTAATCATTTATTTAAATTTTAGCATCTTTTGGATATGTAGGTATGGCACCAAAAATTAAACTTTGATTTGTTTCTGATAAAAATATTCTTTCAGTATTTGTTGAAACTGTTGAATGATATATTTATAATATGCATTTCTCATTATTAGATAAATATTAAATAAGTTAGGATACATGTGTATCTTCATATATTTACTTTGATTTAAAGATTAAAGTATGCTACTTGATTAGTAGATATCTTCCAATATTATTTTATTAAATAACTATTATATCATCTTATGTATAATCATTTAATATAAACTTTAAATTTGATACTTCTATTTAAGAGATACTATTTAATTATTAATCAAATGTTCTTATTATTGAATTTTATGATAATGTAAATATTACAGATTATGTAATATAAATTTAATCAATTGAAGTGTTAAAGGTTAATGAAAATTAATTTGTAAGACTCTAAAATAGAATTTTTTCTCCAAAGTTTATAACATAAGTTCCAATTTTGAAATTAAAATCAAATGATTTTGCATTTTGTCCATGTTAAAATTCATGCAATAATTTCCATTAAGTTTCACGTTTTGAATAATTTAATACTAAAATACATCCATCATAATTCAAAATTGCTATTTAACCTACTGTGCTTATACGAAAATCAACTATCTATAGATTTTATGTATTAGAAGTTAAGTACTTAAGAGTATTTGTATCAATATAATATTCCAAAGTACCTTATTGATTAAATACTTCTAAGATTGAATCATATTATGATTGATCCTTATTATAAAGTGATGCTCTAAATAATTATTAATTAGCAGCTAATAATTTTCTTTTAATAATAGAAGTATAACCAATTAAGTTATCATTTTCACTTTTCATAAATGTTTAAGTTTCATCATTCCAAAAAAACATAATATTTTACATTCCTCCATTTTGTTCAACATAAGCACAATCAGCTACAATAATTGAATTAGATAAAAATGCTAAGTCATAACAAATATCTGCATCTATTTCTGTGCTGAATTTATCAAATATAGGTATTCTACTATGCTAACCTGTATTTATTTAGTTACTTATAGAGATTTTATATTTCAAATTATTTTTTACCAATGCTGTAAATCTATTCTTCCATTCATAACTTAGATCTTATAATAAAACATTAATAGCCAAAATTGAAGAGGAATCATTTTCAACTTATTCCAATAATTTTATTGGATTAATGTAACTAAGAGTTTCTGATTAGTCTATTATTGAAACATTGCTAAAATCTCTGTTTATAAATATATCCTCATATTTCAACATTACTTATTCGTTTTAAGTAGAGTAAATTTGAATTGAGTCTCTTTGAAATTGAGTACATCCTGATGATGTATACACCATTAATAATAGTACAATCATAAAAACCATATATTAATATTTATATCAACATTAATCAATTTTTGCAACCTAATTTCTCTAATATATTTAATATAGTTTATTCATATTGGCCTTAACAAAATATTAACTAAGGACTAATTGACAAAAAGTATTTTTGCAAACCTAATTTACATTATTTATTAAGATTTCTCAATTATAATTATTCTTCAAGTTTATCATTCTTATAAATTAGAATCTACATCATAAAACCTAAATTTCATATAAATAATTACATTTTTTATATAGACTTATCAAAATTAAATTTTACTTCAAATAAAATAATACAGATTTTATAAATCTCTACTTTTTAACAGACTTTTAAATTTTAATAACATGATCCACTAACAAACACCTTATGTGATTCTCCATTATATACACATATAAATTATTGTTAATAAAATCTAAAGAATATTAAAATGTATTTGGCATATTGTAAATACACTCTAATAATAAATTATTCTTATCCTTAAATGTCAACTTTAAATTTAATTAATAGACATCAATATCTATGTCATTTACAATTAATGTTGTTATATATATTGGCTAAATTTCATGAGAATTCTCAGGAGAATATTCTAAAGAATCTTATTCTTATAAAGGTGTATTAATTATTTAGGATGTGAACAATTCTCCCTAAAATCCTGTACTTTATTAAAACTTTGCTTTTTAATTATCTTCATTTTAAATATCTATATATTCAATATTCTATTGTATTTGGACTTCATTTTGTTCTTAAACTTATTATGATTAGATGTTATTACATTCTTCTTCTATGTTTTACTCTTCCTTGTGAACTGATGATTAAATCTCTAAATCATTATTATTTATAAAATTGTTTTGAGTTGAACTATCTATTTAATTAATAATTTATTAAGTTAGAGTATTATTGTTATCAATACTTTTGTAAGGCTAAAAATCATCTTTAGAATCTTAGTTTTGGATTTCTTAATTAATTAATTATTTTGAATCATCTTTATTCTCAGTTTATTTTAATTAATCATCATTTAGCATTATTTATTCTTTCATTGCATAGTTTATATTATGATTCTCTTTTTACTTTTATATTTCTTAACTAATATCAATATTAGTTTAATTTTAAGTATCATCTATCTTTTATACTTATGAATTTAATCCTATTTATTCATCCTTAAATTCATTTTCATTTAAAACATTTTATTCTGCAGAATTATTGATATGAACATTGAATTCTTCATCTTAATGTTTATCTGATACTACAGATTCTTAATTGTTTAATTATTAAATTTCTTTGTCCTTATCTTCAAATTAGATTAACTCTATCTATACTTATTAATTATTAGTTTGAGATTCATCTTATTATTGAATGTCTTATTTTTAATCTTGCTCATTGTTAACTTTAATAATTGAATTCTATTATGTTTAAGATTAATCATTTTCATATTATTACTTTTCCTTATTCTCTATAAAATTATCTTAATCAATTTATTTCTATTCCTCAACTACACTATCTTATTTATCCACAAAATCTTGATTAGTATTATTTAATTCATTATTATTAGGATGAGAATCTGTATGTATTTATTAAATTTATATAATTTCTATTTCTAATTCAATATTTTAAATACTTTAATCTTTCTTGATTTACTCATTTTAGTTTTCACTATTATGTTCTGATTATGAAGGTTATTCTTAAACTTCATTTGAATGTTTTTTGATCAATAATGTATTTGATATGTCATCGACTACTACTAATAAATTATTTTAATCATTATTATTTTCTATTTATTCATTATTATCCAATTTTTAATTTGATTAATTCTGTTATTAATCTTAATTTTCAATTTAAAATGTTTCTTATTTAAATATAACTACTTAATATTTATTACTTAAAATCTATGAAATTTAAATTGAAATTTATAAAAGTAATCTTTCAATATATATAATATTGTCTTAATGTAAATCAAGCTCAATTTAATTGTTTTTAATATGTAGAATATTTATTATTTAATTAGTTATCAAATCTATTAAAATATTGAATTCATAAGAATCCTTAGTAATTTCTTCATTTAATATTGATTAACAATTATTAATATTTAAATAAAATCTAAAATCCTATTTATGCTTTCCTTTTCTCTCTATTAATAAAATTCTAATTCTTTATAATTAATAAGAATAATTAGAGATAATTATATATACATGATCATCTATATACTTTACTTTTTTATCATTGTGTCCTATTTAAAATTTATCCTTATTTTTTATAAGTTTTAATTATTTCTACCACCATTTTTAAATTGTAATAATCTTTTTCAATTTTTCTAATTTTTTATTTTTCCATTCTTTATATCTTTTTTATGCTAACCATCTTTTAACTTATGCTTGAATAATTGTTGCTGCTTTATACCTAATATATTTTTTATTTGGATTTCTATTAGTTTTTATTACTACTTAAGAATTATTATTCATTTCTATCATTTTTACTGATTCAATTCTCTTCTATAAATTTTATATTTCTTCTATCTTTACTTATTTAATCCTAATTAAAATTTATATTATACTTTTCAAGTTCTTAAATACTTTATTTACAAAAATTTAGTCTCTCATGTTGATTTTTTTCTTTAAATTCATCAATACTCGATCTTTATGTTACAGATGCTTTATTCGGATAATCACTTTAAACTTAAGACACATTTCTATTTTAGATTTCTTAGAATAAGTTGGAATATTTGGTTGTTAGAGGTAAAATCTAGAAATCTGATAAAGAGACAACTGCTCTTCTTACAATTTCATTCTTTTTAGGATTAGGTTTTCTTTAAGGCAATAACTTCATATTTGATATAGAAGAAAACATAGTTTTATTGAGGTTACTAAGGTTGGTAGAGTTATTAGTTTTGAATAAAATTTACTTACCTTTCACTTCAAAGAACTCGGGCTTCAAACCATAAGACTTCATATAAGGTTAGATTTTCTTTGATATTAGTTTTCTGTTTGATATACTTTATTTAGACTCGACATAATCTTTGACTTGGACTTAGATTAATGAATTATTATTCATAATATAAATCAAAAGTAAAGAGCTTTTTTATATTTTTAGGGTGTGGCCAATCGTTGGATTTCACATTTCAAATTTTACACTTCACTTTATAATTCATTGTATAGACACTTAAACAAAACCTTTTACTTTTGGAGTTTATGTTTCATCTTTGCATTTTGTAACATATAATACTTCATTTTCCACTTCAAATGCTCTATTGAGTCTTTCAGTTAGAATATTAATAGTTTAATCCTTTTCTTTCATTTTTTGGACAGGCTTTGCAACTGGCTTAATAGAACTCTTGCATTGTAAATATTCACTTTTCTCACTTCGTGTATTTCGGCTACTCTTTCTAACACTCTCACTTCGTTTAATTTAAGATCTCAAATTATCTATCTTCTTTTCTTGTCTTCTTATTGTTTCTATTAATAACATGGTGGACATCTGTTAAATTAAAATTTATTATTAATTTATAACCAAAACCTATTCATTTCATAATTAGATCATCAAACACTCAAAAAAATCAGATATACTATCTATTTATATCTTTTTGTATTAAACTTATTATATCAAAAAGTTTAAACTAATTAATTGATTATATTAGGATCTTGCATTGTGTTCATTGCTTCTAAATATATAACAAAGACATTACAATTAGGATACAAGTTAACTAATTATCATAATTGAACAATTACTATCAACATTTATGATCAAAATGTAGTTTAATAATATTCCTGCATTTATTTTGGATTACTATTTAAAATATTATGAGTGATTGTAATGGAAAGGAATTTGACAGTGACGATAGTAGTATATATATATTTTCATTACTTAGACATTTATGAAGTGGAATTTGTGTATGGTAAGAAAATGTTCAAAAAAAAGACATTATATGCTGTTAAATGGTTAGGATGGACTATATCTTAAATGTCTTGGGAGCCTTTTTCTAATTTTACTCCTATTTCAAGTTATCTTGTAAGGTATCTATAACATATCTAATATTTATAGACGCTTAGAAACTAAACTATGTTATGCTTAATATTACAAAAAGATTGCTCCTAATTCAGGAGGTATACGAGTACATATCAAAGGAAAATTTTGTTAAGTCTAATAGATTGATACTACTATATAACAAAAGACTATTGAATGTGAAAAGAAGATTGTATCTCACTCTTCAGATACCTAAGATATTTATGATAAAGCATAGAAGATCATAACATAAATGAAATAGAATCTTTTATGCTCATATAATAGGAAGTAACATTTAAAAGGTTAAAAGAAAGTAATTAAATAAAATAATCATTTTAAAAAAATTATAAATTCTTAAGAAAAGAACTAAACAACATCTAGCGTTACTGTATAAGGATAAGGAAAATAAATACAGAAGTAGATTAATAAAAAATAAAAATTAAATAATAAGGAGATAATTGATTAAGAGTTAGAAAGAGATATTTAATTTTTGATTAAATATGAAAAATAAACAAAAAAACTTAAATAAGCAAATGATCAATAAATTTAAAATAAAAATAATAAAGATGATAAATAATAATAATAATAATAATAATAATAATAATAAAAAAAATAATAATAATAATAATTATTATTATTAGATGAAGAGAAAGTAAAATAATAAAAATATAATAATCAATAATTATTTTGTGAATTTTAAATTATTCTCAATGAACCTGATAATTCAGAATTAATTATTCCTTTTTAAAAATAGATTACACCAAATAAGAACACTGATAAATAAATTAAACATAAAAAGAATATTAATAAATAATAATCAAATGTTCAAGATACACACAGTTATATATAAGAGGAATCATTTGAAATTGATTTGTTATTAGTTGAAGATAGTGAATAGTAAATAAAACAAAATGAACAATTAAAAGATATATAAAAATCATCAGATATCTATTAAAAGAATGTTAAATTACTTCCATATACTCATCAAAACAATTAATTAAAAAATGCAAAGGTTGTAAAATCAGTTATAAATCCTAAATAAATTTTGAATATTCCATAATAAAATTCTGAGATACATTATAAGACTGAGAAATAATTTATTAATGAAATAATAGAAGAATAGAAAATAAAAGAATCTGAATTTCATTAAGGTCTAAGTTTAAAAGAGTTGTTATAATTGGAAATAAAACCAAAAACAAATTTAAAAACTAGCTAATAAATTTAACAAGAGATATAAAAATTATAATTGGAATCAATAATCTTAAATAAGACTACTAATAGATGTAGTATGCCAATAATACCAAAATTAAAAGATGTTGAAATTTAATTATTTGAAAGTAATCTTATGAATATTGAAATGATTTAATATGATTTGAATTTAAATGAAATCAGATTTCAAAAAGTTATTATAGAATTAATAGAATCACATCATTTATTAATAGGAAAATTATTATTTAAATGTCTTTATGATAATGGAATGAATTATTATGTAGAATATGACAAATTGCAAATATACTGTCCGACATTATTATTAGATTACATGATAGTAAATTCAATATTAATATGATTTATGAATTTTTTCAATATAAATTCTAATTGAGTTGATTAATATTGCAATCAAGCCGTACTAATTTATTTTCATTTCCATTAATTTATTTACAATGGTTCCTTACATACTATTATAATATAAAAATATAATAATAGTAAGCGATAAATAGATCATTACACTTAAATACTTTCCTCCTTCCACTGATAATTTTTCCTATTCTTTTGTTACATGCTCATAGAGTCGTTTAACTCTATTTGCTTTCTTTTGAATGATTACATTTCCAAAATACAATATCACTAAAAGTATATGCATTTAGCATATTATTAATGCATATATTGAAACAGGTATTTAATAATGATTACAAATAAATTAAAGTAAATCGAAAGGTGGTAAATTATGAAAGATAGCATAGAATTCATAAAACACACTAAAAAAGAAATATATTGTGTTTATTGTAATATAAAACTTCTTTAATAGATTGACCAATGTCTTCAATTTTTATGCTCTGACTTCTGATCTTCTTAACATCATATTCCTTTTCATTATTAATCCCTCACTTTCTAAATCACCATAATAATCTTTATTCTTTTCAATATGCTATTTGATTCCAACTATAAGAATAGTAGAACCTTAATAAATTTATAAGAGTCCATGTACAGAAATAAAACAATAATACAAATCCTCATAAGATTAATTAGTAAAGAAGAAAATAATCATAACAACTGTTGGTAATAAGAGTTTTCTTCTATAATACCTAAAGAATATTAATATTGGTACCACAAAGAGGATTCTTAGTGTTTTTAGGTTGATAGTCCAAATCTCTTTCTTATTTATTCTTATTCTTCTAAATAATTAAATCTATTCAATCTTAGATGATGGGTCTCAATAATAAGTTATTACCAAACAGCTTATGCCAATAAAATTGTCATTAATAATTCTTGACTTAATTTCAAACAAACTGAAACAACCAATAAAAATAATAAAATAGTATGCACAGCTATAGCAATTTTTGTGACTATACCTATTTGTTTATTTCTTAATTATCTCTACATTATAAATAATGATGAGCCAATTAAGAATAATTTCATTAATTATAAAATTATAAATTAATTCATAAGAATTATTGAATTATATATTAAAAAGGATAATGAATTCATATCAAATTTCAATCTTTAACATTTTCTGTTATTTTTAATTACTATTATTCCTATGGTTCTGATTCAGCTTTATTTAGACTGAAATCTCTATTTTATTAAGAATCTAAATCTGTATTAGAACAAGATTATTATTTTATAGGTATTTATAGAGATTCTTATTATTATAACATTTCTTATTATTAAGAAAGTTCTTCTTATTATTAAAATTCTTATGAAGTTTATTATTATTATAATAAAGGTTCTTATTATTATTATTATTATTATTGCAATTATTATTATTTTTTTTCTTTTTCTCTTTTAATTTCTTATGCTTTTTCATATCTTGTCAATGGCTTTTATGTCGGATTTTCTGGATTACCTTCCAAATAATCTTAAATTTAACCAGAACAAATATAATCATAAAATGCCTTGAGAACTCTTGGAATTTATTCTTTATTGTTAATATACCTATATATTCACATGTAATTTTACTTTAAAATCTTTTTGATATATGGTTCAAATCTAAAATTTGTATATTTAATTATATTAAATGCCAAATAGGTCTTTAAATTAGCTAGTGTTTTAAAAGGGGATTCTGTTATTTTACTTCTAGGATTTAGGAGATTATAATCAAGAAAGGCATTTACAATTCCAACTCCAACTTATTCATAATCTTCTATTGTAAAAAACTTTGATATAGGTTTAGTTGTATCTAAAGTTCCTAAAATAATATTTTCATCTAAGTTATTTTCTTTGTATGAATTATCTAATGATTTAATATACTTTATACCTTCTGATTCCTCATAAGTAATATTAGTAAGTTTTCCTATATTATAATTACATTCAAGTGTATAACTATGTATGATTCCACATATCTTATGTAGGGCTACTCTACCTGAACCTTCTTTACTTAGACCATCTCCTTTATCTGCAGCATACATATTCTTTTCAGTAAAATTACAAGCATCATAATCAAAGATTTAAGAGTATAATGTAATTAATTTAGGTATGATACAATTTGAAATTTGTTAACTTAATTGATTTAGTTGATTCCCATAAATAAATGCTCCCTTTTGACTAGCATGAGCATGTAAATCAATATATCCAAGAAATCGACCTGTTTGATGGAGTCTAGTTAGATACTCTTTAATTGCATAAATTGTTGGATGATCTTCTTAAGAAGGTGATAAATAATATCGATTAAGATTTTAACAAAGAGAATCAGTTCTATAATGTCCTCTATAAACACCATCAGGATTAATTATAGGAACAAAACACCAAACATAATTATCTCTGGCAGCCTTTGCAACAGGGTCATTTGGTGTTAATAGATATTTGATTAAGCCATTATGAACAAAAGAACTAGGAACTTCTCCTGGATGAACCCGTGCAGAAATAAATATATGAGGTTTGTTAAAAACATAAGGTTTTGTTATAGGGAAGATTCCTTATAATGGTTCTTCTAGTTTTTCTGAGGAACCATTAGTGATTGTGATCAAATTGATAGGTCTACCTTCTTTGGAATAGGATAGTATTGAATTATCAAAATAAATATTAGGAATTTATTGGGATATGGAATAACAATGCTATAAGAAATTCTATGATATATATAATAAAGATTACTTCATTGTCTTAACAACTCCATGGATAGAAAAATGCAAAATACACTGTTTCATTATTAAGGAATATATGTTAGAATGTGATTTCAAATTATCGTTCAGAAACTAATCGATATTAACAGGGTTGCTTAATTCTATCCCATTAAGGGGAATTAGAAGAACGAAAAACTGGTTACATTCCATCTTTAAATAATCCCATCTTTAATTTAACATAACATCTTGAATTACTTAATTTTGCATATTAGAAATTACAAATGTGTTAATTCCTTCAGATATTACTGAAACCGAAAAGTAAAACCAGGTTCTATAATTAGTAATTTTTCCATTGATTCCCTAATCACTTGAGATTTGGAGGATATACTTATTGTTTGATTATTGATTTATTTCATACTTTTCCATCTTATTCAATGACACTTTTTAAATTGCCAGAATCAAATGCACTTGAGAAAGTGATACCATTAATTGTTTAAGTTATTTATGAAGGATATTCCAGAGTATTCATTTTTGAAATTAATTATTATTATAAAAAAGACATTATTATTTATATATAGTTTAAATTACAAATATTCATTAGAGTTTTGATTTTAATATGTACAAAGCCATAAATGCAAATATTCTAAATAGGAATATAAATCCTATCAAAATGTAAATGCATGTCCAAGTACCATATTTAAAATCATACAATTCTATTGGATCAACTTCATATAATTAATCTTTATATTCTACTCTAGATAGAACTTCAAATGAATATGTTATTGGACTTGTATATTATATCCATCTAGTCCATGAATAAAAGAATTTTGGATTTGCAAAAAAACCAGAGAATAATACATAAGGTAATAATGTATATGGTGCAATTCCAAGTATGGCTTTTAAATCACTAAATATACAACCAACCAACATTCCTAAATTTATATATTATTAATTTACCTAAGCCACTAGCCCAATTATAAATGAGAATTGATACAAACATATGCATTATTACTGCTTCAGTTGTATTATGATATCCACACATCCAATATGATATTAGTTCCTATATTATAGGAAGTACTATGCATAAAGGAATCTCAAGAATTTGTTTAGCTATAAAATAGGATGAAATTGAATATAATTTTGAACTCTCTTCTCTTAAAAACACTTCTCTCTCTACAGGAAATGTTAATATAATAGCCAAAACAGCAGAAATTACAAGATTGAATACACAAAAAAAAAGAGCTAAAAAATATATATATATCTATTTACATCCAGAAATGCCCATTAGATCTGATACAGAACCTTCATTATCAGCAACCTTCCAAAATACTCCTCCAAGTAATAATCCTTAGACAATAGTTTAAAATATTCTGATATAAAATTGTAAAGGATCTCTTGTAAATGCCATTAGATTTCTATTAGCAATTTACTTTATTTATTAAATTTAAGAAATTTCTCTTACTTTTAAAGGCAATAGTAAATTTTCACAATTATTTATTTATAAAATTACATTTGAATGACAATATTGATCATAATATTAAAACATTTTATTAAAGTGCTTTTAATTCTCTTCATTATCTATTTGCATTAAACTTAAATAATAATCCATAGGATTTGAAGATTAAGGACAAGTAAATCCCATATTTTAAAAATGATCAATAATCTTTTTTTAAATTTAAAATTACATTGCTTTTTTATCCTTAATAAATAAATCTACCCCCAACTAGAAGCATTATTCTATCAAATAATTAGAATATATCTGTGCTTGGGGAATGAATAGTGAAAACTACAGTTCTATCTTACTAACTTGCTAATTACTTTAATTCATTACTGAGTAATATTAATATATATTTATACATTATAGCAAACGCAGTAAATGAGTCTAATCCAGAAGTAGGTTCATCCAACAATATACATGCAGGATTGGATACTAACTCATATCCTATAGATGTTCTTTTTCTCTCACCTCCAGATATACCTTTGAATGTTATTCCTCCAATTAAAGCATTTTAACACTTCTCTAATTTCATACTTTTTAGAGTATCTGTTACTCTCTACATTTAAATTGCAGAATCAGAATATTTCATACTAGCTGCAAATGTAAATGCTTCCTTTGGAGTCATAGTTTCCATTAGTATATCATTTTGCATAATGTAAGAGGCAAATAAACAGAATTTGTCATAATTATACTCCTGATGATTAGCTAATACTCTTCCTTTTAATTAAGATTCACTATTTTATGGAACTCTACAAGCTAGAATATTTAAGAGAGTTGTTTTTCCAGCTCCTGAACTTCCTAAAATAGCTGTAACCTATCCTCCTGGACATATACCTGTTAATCCTTTCAAAATTGATTTGTTTTCTTAAGATTATAGTTATAAATATACCTTTTTTTTAGAGTTTTGGATCAAATACTTTTACAGAATACTCTATATTTTCAAATTATAAATCAACCAAGTTGGAAGATTTAAGTGATTTAGATGTTTAATTCTAGTTATTTGAATTGATTATTTAGATCCCTGTTGGATTTTCAGGAAATACTCTAGTGATTTTCATAAGGTTTATAAAATTAAATTTATTAAGAAATTCTTCTAATTCTTTGTTCTTAAGAATTGAAAAATATAATTGAAAACTGATAAAAGCTGATTTAATAAATTATTTAATTTTTTTATATAATAAATATAATAAATCATGCTTATTTACAAAACTTCTTTTAAATTAAATCATTGAATTACAGTGGGTCAATCATCAAATTATTAGGAAGTAAAAATGGTGTATTCTTATTATTAAGTAATAACTCAAGAGATATTTAAGGCAAAAACTTATATTGGTTCAGAAGTTACTGCTATTACTATTGTTGTTATTACTATTAGACTGAGATATCTGGTTTGGTATTTGGATAGTTCTCCTTAACCTTTATTTCATCCTAAAATTGATTTGCAAACAATACTTTATTGAGATTGATAAGGAGAGATGTAAATTATTAAGGAGTCATTTGAGCTGTCATTTCATCTATTTAATCATCTAATTGTTATTAACAGATTCTAAGATCTTTGGATTTACATTTCATTTATTTTATTAGACTATAGATATATCATCTATATTACTAAGAAAAAGATCGCTTATGTTCTAGTATCCTTCTCACGATATGGATAATTATATTCTACATTTTCTCTTCGCTACATCCAGTTATTTCTTTAAATTGTTTAACATACTCATTCAATTCTTCATCTTCTAGTAATTGAACTGAATTAATCTTTTAAAAATTATACAATTTTTAGTGAGACAATTGCTTCCAAAAAGCAAAGTTCCATAATTACCATCCATCAATATACGGGCAACATTTTAAAAACAATATCTTATATATTGCTTTCTTTTTGAACCAGTGGCACTAAATTTTAACTTATATGAATCAGTAAGCAAAGCTTGCATCTCCTATCCTTCAGGAGTCTCTGGGTCTTTGCTTTATAATTAATCAAATATTTGAGCTTGTTCTATAATCATTCCTTTAAAACATTAATTATGTTCTATGATATTGTGAATATGCTTGAATGTTATTTCTGTTTATTATCTGAGACCCTCTATTTGTCCATTTAAATCCTCAACTTTCTTCTCCAATAACCCAATATATAACTTCTTCCTTTATCTAGAATTTCTTGCACTCTCCCTATTCTTCTGCATCTTTAAATCCTCATTATCTAATTATTTGGAAGAATTCGAAGACACATTTTCTCTAACTCTTTTTGAAGGAAGTAGTTTTTCTTTATCGTCTTCCATACTTACATTCAGAAGTGAACTTATTTTCTTTATATAAGCATTCTTAACATTCCCTTTGATATTCTATAGACACAAAACATCATCTTTTAAAGAAGCCTATGAATCATTCTTAATCATCTATCTATCTTCTTATTTGATTTCAGCTGAACTTCTGACTCTCTAAACTTGGTTCTCAAGATTGGATATTACTCCATATGGTAAAAAGGGCATAAAATTCTATTACTATGCTGGTTTCTTCTGAATTATATTATTAATAAATACCTCCTCTATATCAAGCATATAATGTTCTGGATATTCACAATCCACCTTATTATTAGAATTCATAATTATTTATAATACCTATTTATTACATAATGACGTCTAAGAATTAAAATATTCAATCACAATCCACCATAAAATTAATAGATAATATATACTACGGAATATGATTCAAAGACGTATTAATTATTTTTAAATATTTAATAAAAATTGAAAACAACAAACTTTTATATGGATACATAATGTTACTCACATAAAAAAACTCAAACATGTCAAGTTCATTAAAAATCTAAATCCAAATTTTAAGTATAGACTAATGTTAAGTGAAAATAAATACATAAAAAATTGAATTCCAATAATTGTCTTCTTCATTTATTTGATGTTAATAGCGTAAATTATGTAAATTAATTGACATAAAATAAGTATACAATTGCATATGTAAAACTTTAAGAATTGATGTTAATAAAAAGCAGATAAGGAGGGATTTTTTTGAGTAAATTATATATTAATTCATTAGAAAATAATTATATGTAAATGATTAACCAAAACTAATAATATTTGATTAGATAGAACATAGATTAACATTAGATGAAATACCAATATTCTTGAAATATATATATTGACTTATAAAATTAATTATATTAATTTGAATTCAAATTTATATATATGAACAATTCACCAATAAGAAATCAGTCTTATTACTAAGATAAAATTAGATATTAGAGATCACCTTATTCGGATAAAGAAAATATAATGAGTGAAGTTAATTAGAGTCAATAGACATTCTAAAGAGAAGCAATAGAAATATTGAATGATGTTACAGAGACATCAAAAATTGATGAGTCAGTTTTAGACAGTAACCTTACATTGTTTGAAAAGATTACTCATCATAAATGGTAAATAAGAAGATTAGTCTTAATGAATTTAACAGAGGAGTATTAAAAGAATTAAACTGTTTATGAATTTTAATCAGCATGGCTTAAAAATATAATTAATGATAGCAATTAATTTGCTATGACAGAGGGTCTTAAATTCATATAAGTGTTTGTTAGAAGTTAACAAATGAATTATCATATATTACCCTACTTTATTGGAGATCTTATTGAGAGAGGTTCATTTGTTAAGTCTCAAATCTAAGATCTCGTAATTGAAATATTATTATAATGTTGCAAAACAATATAAGATACTACTTTTATCTTATCAGAAATCCATAAAAAAATAGAAGCTAAACATCCTAAGATAATGACTCTATGTTTAACAATTATTGAAAAGATTCTTGAATAATATCCTAATCATCTTGTCAAGTATTTATAATTATAATTAATTATAGAGATTAAATAAGAGACTTAATTGAATTATGTGTCTCATTAGTTCAACATACAAATAAAGTAATAAGATAAAAGTCAATAAATATCTTTTGCAAACTTTATTAAATGATATCAGAAAGTTTTGAATAGGTTAAGAAAACTTATTTAGATAAACGATTAAGACAAATTCAAATTAAAGAATTAGAATAATTGTGTAACAAAATTACAAAAAAAACATAGAAGATTGATATTCAATCAATATAACCAACTATTTAAATCATAGATTTACATACTTTATTACCAGATAAATTTTTTGAAATGCCTTACTATAAACACAATGAGAAAAAGAATATTACAGAATAATTTGCTAAGAATTTAGAGAAATATGATGGAGATATTGATAATTCTAAAGATTATGGGAGTATTTATGCAATTATTATAACATTACTTGAAGAAAGCAACTATTTAATATATAGTTAGGGTATGAGATGTGTTAAAGGATTAGTAAGATTATTGAGAAGAGGAATTCCATAACCAGTAGCTAAACATTTTTTTATTTTGATATTAGATAAATTAAAAGGTTCTTTATCTAAGCCTTTATAATCAGCTGTATTTAATCTTTTGGAAGATATATTAATTTATGAAAATATATCTTGTGATTAATTTATGGAACTTATGATTAATTAATTAGAATCATCAAAAAATATTGGATTAAAAATAGCATGTGCAAGATGGTTTAAAGATGGTTGGTTAGCCTTAGCATTAGCAGTATAAACAGGTTCATATGAATCTTCTGATTCTGAAGTATTAAAGAAATTTGCATAGTCTAATAGTGAGAAAATATAGAAATCACTTCTTATTTTATATAAAAAGGTATAATGTATTTTAAAAAAAGAAAATAATTTAAATTATAAGAAAGTTTTATTAGATTTAATTAATTCTATGTAATATGATGAACAAAATCTTTAGGTTACTGTAATTGAATCATAGATAGCAATTGTTAATCCATAATTAGATTTATAAGAATCAAGGATAACAGATAAATAATCAAGAAAATAATAATAAATGAATTCTGTAAAAAGTAGATATTAAACTGATGAAGATTTATGTGAATTTGCTTAGATTGGAGAAGAAATGTAAAATTTTAATTAAGCTAACAGAAATAGATAAAGTATAGAATTACCTACTTCTTAATTAAATAAAGAATAAATAGAATTTATGAATAAATTTAGTAATGATCTAATATAATTAAGAAAATTATCATAAAATAATTAAGATCAACAAATTTAAAATAAAATAGAAGAAATTATAAATTCATTTAAAATTCATTATTCAGATAAAAATATTACCAGTAATGATTTCTTATAATAAATGACAAATAATATAATAATAGAATTAGTTCATTTCTGTAAAAATGTTCAAGTCTAAAAAAAACTAATTGCTGATAAATTGTATGATTTTATTATTACATTATTAATAAAAATGAATAAAATTTAAGTAACATTGGATTAAGAAATGCTTTATTAAGAATATAAGATATGTTTAATTTAATTAAATCAATTGGATATTTCAAAACTATTATCACTTTTAGATAGTTTATACATTTGTAATTCATTAGAAAGTATGATCAAAATAGGATACAGAATTATTAATAAATATCTTTAGAAATAAACAAATACTAATATTAAAATCTTATAAGCATTTATTAATTGGATTACATAAAAAATTAATGCTGCAACTTAACAACAATTAGATCCTTCTTTCATTAGAACTACATAAAAAACTTTTGAAAGTACTTTTAAAATGTTTCCATAAACATAATTAGATATAAGATTATTATTAAATGCTTTGAAAAGTCGTATGATAAATTAATAAGTGGAATAATTAGATTAATATTAGGATTTATTAAATTAATCATAAAGAAAATCTAAATCTAAATCTTTTGGATCCTAATCTAGATTTTCTCCATATGAAACACCAAACAAAACATAAAGTAAATTAGAGTTTTCTGATTCTGAAGAATAAGAAAGTTTGGAATCATTATAATAAATAGAATAATAGATTTCTACATAATTTACTTTATAATCATTAGAAAAATTTATACATTATTTGAATCGTCATAGAGCTTATTAACTTTGTAATCAATCATAACATACAGTATTTTTAAGTCCAAATTCTAGTTCACCTGGTAAACATTGGAGAAGAGGTATTGGAAGGGATAATATGATTATAAGTTCTCCAAATAGATAATTATATGAAAGTACTAAATTTGAAGATTTCACTAGAATTTTAGAAATTGTTTGTTAAAATTTCAATTTTTAAGTTTAAAATCAAGTTTTTTAAATCTTTTATTTGCTTAAACATATTTTTCCAAATTGTCAATAATGTTTAATTTACCTTATCTTTGCTTATATTTGTCCAAAAACAGAATATTCAGAAAATTTTGAAGTTTTCTTAAGTACATTTTTATAACTTGATAAAAATATTATGGCATACTAATATAGATAAGCATTTAATATCTTATATTAAAAATAAGAAAATGAAAAAGTATTAATTAATTTAATACATACAGGATTTAACTTTCTTTTTTAAAAAATATTCGAAAATGATTTACTAGTTTGTATTTAGTATTTCATTTCTACTTTAACTTATATGCTCACATAGAATATGTTTTATTAATTAGCAAATGATTTATTAAGTAAATATTAATAATAAACTAATAATTTTAATTAAATTGTAGAGAATGAATTAATTAATTATAAAAAATTATATGATACTTATTTAAAGTGGTTATAGATTTAATAATAAACATATGAAAAACCTTAAATTGACTTTTAAAAATTATATAAATAACAATAAAATGATATTTTGATTGTTGATCTTTAGGAAATTGATGAATGTGCATCCAAAAGAGAAGAAACTGTTAGAGAATATATAAATAATAGTTAATAAGAAAATTTTATTCATATAAATAAAGAAGATTTTGAATTATTGGAAAGTACAGCTAAAAATTTCCTTTCTCAATAAACATAAAGATTTAATGAAGAAGGATAATCACAATAAACAGATATTTTAAATATATAATAATTCATTAGTCCTTTATAATAAATAAGTCAAATCAGTAATTAAATGCATGATACAGTTATTTAAGATTTAGCAAAGAATCTTTATTCAAATGATACACATAGATTAAAAGAGTTGGATATGATTAAACTATAAAATGATACCTATAGATAACATAAAAGAGATAGTAACAAATAAGTTTAAGAATCATATCCTTAAGTACCATTAAAGGATCCAATGAAATAAAAGATTGAGAAGATTTATGAAGAAGTACAAAATGAATCAGTACATGGTAATTTTAATGAAAAAAGTCTACTTGTAGATGTTTTAGCCCCTATTGAAACAACATCTTTGTTTGATTAATCTAGAAACTTAAAAAGAAATGAATGCATTTAGCAAATGTAAGAAATTTTATTAACATCAACATCCTTATATTTTGATGTAGCATCAACATTACTTCTTTAATATGAAAATTTAGATATGGCTGAAGATAAATTGGCATTCATAAATGATCTTAAATTATCATTAGTTAATTAAACTTTATTAACAAATATTAATCAACAAAACTTTTCTGTAATTATTGCGATTGTCTTAAAATTATGTACAACTGTAATTTATTATATATATATATTTATATAGCCTGCAACATAATCTGAAATCTATAACAGTTCATTAGGATATGATGATAATCAATTGACAAAGTCTTTATAATAAATCTTAGATGTTCTTTTACACTCTAAAGATACTGAATAGGTCTTGATTTGTTTAATACATGTATTTAACGATCATTTACCTATGGATTTCACAAATGAAATTTCAAAAAGTATATCAAATTTTTATATAATTTTATTAGATGAAAAAATGATGTTAAGACTAAATTTAAAATGTATTGAGAGATTGATTTAAAATAGTGAAAAATTACATGTTTTTGGTATTTTAATTGAAATACTTAAATTCTTTAAATGTCATCCTCCTGAAAATTTAATTGTAATTCAATAAAAATATTATAATATAGGAAGGTTTACCCTCAATTAAAGAATTAGAATTATATTTTAGATAATTGAAATAAATTACTGACAATTTATTGAATATCAATTTTAAAGAAGGAAAAGAATTTTTGGATTTTGTTTACAGAAAAAATAATAAAAGCATTTTTTTAGATTATGTCAAAAGTGTGATTGAAAAAAAATGATGTTTTTAATAATTAATTGATTTTCTATTTATTTAGTTATCATTTCAATTCTTATAATGTTAAACATATTTGAATAGATTAGAAATAATCTAATAAATATGTTGAATATAATAAGTGTTTATTATATTTTAATATATTTTAATAGAAGTTATATGATTGTTTCATTTTATTTATAATTTTATGTAATAAATGCTTCCTCCAAAAAAAGATACTTAAAGAGGATCATTAGTTGCGAATACACCTTTAACTCCAAGAAGCTAAACTTCAAGGAAAAGCTCTCGACTCGATAGACAATCTTTTGAATAATAAGAACTCTATTCTTCAAGGAGAATAGGGTTAAACCTAAAAGACCCTTAAGTACTGAGCCTCTGTTTATTTGATAGAAAGTGGAAGAAATGATCAAAATCAGATAATAAAGATTACCTAAAAAAGAAGCTACAAAGGATGGGGAGAAAGATCTTCGAGAAATATCAAAAGCATATGATGTATTAAAAAATGCTTTGCCTGAAATAAACAATAATTATGGTGTTATAAAGGATCAAGAACTGCTATAATTTTATAAATAATAGATTGTAATAAATTAAAATCCACGAAAAAATTTTTTTGAGTTCAATACCTATTTTTATAAGAATTATTAAGCAAATAATAATGGACCTTGTACAACTTTACCTTAATTGTTAATAAAAAAAGTGGAATCCTTTTAAAATAAATTAGAATAACTTATTAAGGATAGATGAAGTCAAAATTAGAATCTAAAAAGATTTATTTAGCATGTATAATTTCTATATGGCTATCTTATATTTTGTTTTTTATTATTTGTTTTATTGAATAAATCACACCAGACTTAAATTACTAACTGATGCTGTGTCCCAACTTGTATGTCTATCTGTTCTTTTGAGACTAATTAATTTTCTTAAACAAGCCTTATAAACAAATCTTTCCTCTTCACATTCCCATAAATAATGCTTGATTTTTTTTGTTAATGGTCGCATACTAACAGTATAAGAATAAGTAAATACTATGTATAATGTGTTGAGCTATCTTGATGCATAGGTGTATGTCCAAAATCCTAGAGTCTAATTAGAAATAATTACTATTGACTTGCCATCAGTAAGCATTCTAGGCCACATTGAAGGCCAACTAGGATGAATGATTTCCATTTATTTAGTATTTGATCTATTAGAAATAATTGTAATGTTTACTCGAAAGCACAGTCTTCATAATCATGCATTTGTTTTAAACATGGAGTTGTGTCTAAATAAACTAGATATCATACCAAAGACAGGTGGCACTGAAGAAGGGAGTGTACCAAAAAATAGATAACTCATATTAAATAAATTAATCAAATATCTGGTACTTTAGATTGAGGATTTCTGGATTATTTTTGTTCGACTTATTCAAATACTTCAATGGGATCGTTCTTCTTATGTTCTTAGTCTTGCAAATATTTATTTAGCTTCAGCTCTTCTCAAATGATCAATTGAAATATTTGGAGATTTGCTTGAATTAAGAATTTAGGAGGCTAAGTATAATCATTTATTTGAATACTTAGTCATCTATTTTTGAAGAAATTTCAATAATACTATTTAATTCATTAGATGCATTTAATGAAAATATATATTCTTATATAACGCAAAATATTGCAGCTATATCACCATAAGTAGTGATATTTACTGCTTAACCATACCTTAACATTTTATAATTAAAAAAATTAATAATTATTAATTCATTTATGTTACTTCATTAGTTTTCTATAGTCTCCGAAACTAGATTTCATTGCCATTCTCTTCTTTACTAATGGAACTTAATTGCTCTCCAATAATTCAATCATCGACATAGATATTTTTACTATTGAAAAAATCTCATATTTTATTACTCTCTTCAGGAGTCAACTTTTATGTCAATCCCAATTTAATTTGCTTTATACACCATGCTATTTCAAGATCCGTCTATTCAGCTTCACTCAGATTCAATTTTGCTTTTATTTCTTCTTCCACCTACTAAATGATCTCCTGATTCTACTCCTTTAATTTTTTTTTCTTCTCTTTTTTCTTTTGATTCCTTTTTTAGTTTTTACTTAGTAGATCTCCTTATTTTTCTTCTTATTTTTCCTCTTGTTCTTCAACTACTTCCTCTTTTTCTTATTATTACAATTGCTCTGCTTAATTATCCATTAATTAATATTAAAATGTAATAATTTATTTAATCTGAAACTAATTCAGTATTTCATTTAGTTTTATTTTTGAATAGAAATTAGACTTACTATTGTAATTTTATCACTTAAATAAAGTCATTGAAATTTATACAAATCAAATTTATGATTAATAAAAAAAATAGATTCGTCTCTTTTTATTAATAAACATTATTTCTAATAGAAATTGTTCAAAAATAACAAGATAATCTGTTTCAATAAGTATAAATAATAATATTTAATATATTTTTCATTTAATAAACTTAGAATGCGTATTGATTTTAGTGTTGATATGATCATCACTTTTAATTGAATATTATTCTAAAGATATTAAGATATAAACTTGATATTCGTGGAAAATTTTTTATTCAGTGAAATCAAAGAATTCAATCAAACAAATATTAATAAACTTGAATGCTTGATATAATAATAATTAAGGATCTTTATTTAATTCTCTTTTGAATAATATGAGAATAATAAAAGTCTTAAATCCAAATATAGATGTTTGTTTAAATAATAATCAATAATAAAATTTATTTATCATTAATCTTTATATCTATATTGTTAAGCAATATTATAAACGCTAATTTAAGAACAAATGTAGATTAATTTAATTATAATATATTTATGAATACTTAAATGAGAATTTATATAATCTTTTTAAAAGACTACACTTAATTTTATTTTAACAAGTATCAATATTTCTATATGTTAAAATATAATTCAGAATTTAATGACTGTGCCTTAACAATTTTTGACTCTGCATTCTTATAATATTTAAGCCTTTGATATTCTTGAACCTTTCAAACAGATTTCATACTTAAGATGATAAAACAATTTTTACACTGTCTTTTGCTCTTTAATGCTGTTTTTTTTCAAAACCTAAGTTGCCAACAAATTACCAAGAGCAATCTGCAATATAATCATGACTTAATCAAAAATATAAATACCATGTTTTATCTCTATTACAATTGTAAAATTCTGTTTTACACTTCTCTTAAAGACATCCAACATCTGCTAAAGTCACTACAAGCATTATTATTAGAATGATGAATTTTTTCATTATAAAAACGAATTAATATTCAATATGACTAAATAATCTCATCTATTCTAATACTCTCTTCATATAACACCTTATTGCAATATTGTCTACTGCAACTATTTAAGCTCTTAGCAGCTTAATTAGTGCTCATACAGTAGGTGAACTAAAAAGATTATAAATATCTTACATCTTGATATCCAGCTTCTGTTCCTTTATATTAACCAGATTTTTAAGCACGATGAACATATTATTTAAATTGGTTAGCACATTTAGCAGCAGTTTAATCACAATTTCCTCCATTTTTGCATGCTTTTAATTAAGCTCCGCAATATGCATTTGTGCAATCTCCTGCTTTTGAAAAACATAAAACAATTAGAATGAGTAAAATTAAGAATTTTTTCATTTAAAATTTATATATAAAATAAATTTAGTTATCAAAGAATAGCTTATTAATTAGGATTCACAATACGTTTTAATGAATTTAGGTAGTATATTAGAAATACTAAAAAATTTATGTATTCTATTTTACAATAGCCAAAAATATAATCAAAAAAAAAAAATAGTTAATTTATAATGAGTTATGCAGTTTAATTTCTGGAATAAGTTATATAAATAAATAATTTTATATAAAATGGGAGGTTGTTTATATCGTGAGTCAAAGGATCAATATCATTATAACACTGAAGACATATTGTTAAAATAGAAGTTAACGCATGATCGATTGTAGAACCTTCTGAAATTACGTGAGGATAGGGAGTAAATGTAATAAAGATATTAAAAGAATATTGAAGAAGGTGAGAAAATGAAATAGCCTAAAAAACTAAATCAATCATCAATAGAATAGAGTGGATTTGATATCAGTCTTAGCAAAAACCATTAGAATTTACATTATATAGAAGAAGCTGAAGACGAATCAAGTTTTATTGAATAACAAAAACCATAGACTTTATAAAAATTACCTGATGAAGATAATTATGATGAAGGAGGAGAATTGCTTTTATAATTGGCCTCATCCTAACAATTAAATGCAAATAAAGCAGATAATATAAGAGATTAATTATAAGGAAGATAGAGTAATGAAATGGATGATGAGATATTGCAATACTTTAATACTACTAAGGCCAATTATGATAGTAGAGTAGATGCTTGATTTAATAATTAATTAAATTTTATATATATATATATAAATGTCATCATAATCTCAATAAGAATAAGATTAAGATCAAGAAAATATCGAAGAACTTTAAGATGAGGATCAAGAATAATCATCAAGATAATAAGAAAACTAAAAATAAGCTAAGAGCACTATTAAAAAAGTAAGGAATTATCAAAAAGTACCAGAGAATCTTAAATCATAATTACTTAAATTAGTAATTTAGTAGGGTGTTAAAATTAATTAAGTATCTATGTTTTAAGAATTTTTAAAGGCAGCTTAACAATTAAATTTAAAATATGCAACAGCCAAAACAATAGTCTTTACTTATAGAGCCTAATCGAAACCAAAGAAGTCAAAAAATAAAAAAAAGAAGACAGCCACAAAAGTTGAATTTGTACCAATCTAAAATAATAATGTTAATCCAATTCATGTTGAAATTTCAATTGGAGGAAATGTTTAAAGTAAATTTACACTCTAATGAATAATATAGAAATGTTTGACTTATTATAATTGAAATATATAATTAATCAAATGTTTCTTCTAAATACATTATTATTCTTTTAAGGAACTTTTTAATATAATCATTATTAATAAAGTATTAGACTGATTTATAATATTGGAAAATTTCTATGTTTGAGGGTTAGATGATTTCAAATATGGTTCATAAGGGATCACCTATTGTATACATAAATAATTGTTCTTTCTATATATATATATTTCTTGTTCTAATAAAAATATTTTTCAGTCAACTCTGAAAATGTATCATATTAGAAAGTCTTGTTGATTTTTTTAGAACCTAGATTAATCTTGTCACTATTGATTGTTTATTTTTATGGTTTACATCCTATTCTGTTTAATCCTTTTACAACTTTCTCTATTATTAATTTCATATAATACTATAAAAATTTGTGTTATTCAAAGAGAAACTTTAAAAGATAACCTGAGTTGATTATGCTTATGAATAAGAAGGTGACTTCTATGATTTAAAAGTTCAAGATAATTGAAAAGTCTATTATTGCAATTCTTAAATACTCTTATCAGTTGTGTTTTTTAGTGGCAAATTAGATGAAATAGATATAAATGTTGGTTATTGATAACCTGTTGAATTTGTATTATTTTAGATTTAAATGTGGTGAGTAGATTTAGTAATCCAAGTTAGACAAGCAGATGATTTTCAATTAATAAATTTTATTGTTTTATTCATATATAAATCGACTCATCGTTAAATTTTTTATATTATGAACATAATTATGCAAAATGATAATGCTTATTTAGTTAAGAGAAAATTAGGAAATGGCTCATTCGGTTGTGTATACTTAGTATCTGACATTAAAAGTAACCAAGAATTTGCCTGCAAAATTGTAATTCATATGGTACTTATTTTAGGTGTCTAAATCTATGCTGAGCAAATATTAGGCTGAGGGGATGGTGAGGTAGGAGATTCAAATTCAATCAAGCATCAACCACAGAAATGTAGTAAAAGTGTTTAATTCATTTGAAGATACTAAAAACATCTACATTATTTTAGAATATTGCAAGGAGGGTTAATTACAAATCCCTTCACAACCTTATACAAATAAGCAATTAATATAATTCCTCAATCAAATGCTCAGTGCTCTTGATTCTATTCATCAAATGAATCTTGTGCATAGGGATATCAAAGTAAGTAACATCTCCCCAATTCCAGTTAGACAACATCCTTGTTCATGAGGATGGATCATACAAGCTTTCAGACTTTGGATGGNCTAATGAATAATATAGAAATGTTTGACTTATTATAATTGAAATATATAATTAATCAAATGTTTCTTCTAAATACATTATTATTCTTTTAAGGAACTTTTTAATATAATCATTATTAATAAAGTATTAGACTGATTTATAATATTGGAAAATTTCTATGTTTGAGGGTTAGATGATTTCAAATATGGTTCATAAGGGATCACCTATTGTATACATAAATAATTGTTCTTTCTATATATATATATTTCTTGTTCTAATAAAAATATTTTTCAGTCAACTCTGAAAATGTATCATATTAGAAAGTCTTGTTGATTTTTTTAGAACCTAGATTAATCTTGTCACTATTGATTGTTTATTTTTATGGTTTACATCCTATTCTGTTTAATCCTTTTACAACTTTCTCTATTATTAATTTCATATAATACTATAAAAATTTGTGTTATTCAAAGAGAAACTTTAAAAGATAACCTGAGTTGATTATGCTTATGAATAAGAAGGTGACTTCTATGATTTAAAAGTTCAAGATAATTGAAAAGTCTATTATTGCAATTCTTAAATACTCTTATCAGTTGTGTTTTTTAGTGGCAAATTAGATGAAATAGATATAAATGTTGGTTATTGATAACCTGTTGAATTTGTATTATTTTAGATTTAAATGTGGTGAGTAGATTTAGTAATCCAAGTTAGACAAGCAGATGATTTTCAATTAATAAATTTTATTGTTTTATTCATATATAAATCGACTCATCGTTAAATTTTTTATATTATGAACATAATTATGCAAAATGATAATGCTTATTTAGTTAAGAGAAAATTAGGAAATGGCTCATTCGGTTGTGTATACTTAGTATCTGACATTAAAAGTAACCAAGAATTTGCCTGCAAAATTGTAATTCATATGGTACTTATTTTAGGTGTCTAAATCTATGCTGAGCAAATATTAGGCTGAGGGGATGGTGAGGTAGGAGATTCAAATTCAATCAAGCATCAACCACAGAAATGTAGTAAAAGTGTTTAATTCATTTGAAGATACTAAAAACATCTACATTATTTTAGAATATTGCAAGGAGGGTTAATTACAAATCCCTTCACAACCTTATACAAATAAGCAATTAATATAATTCCTCAATCAAATGCTCAGTGCTCTTGATTCTATTCATCAAATGAATCTTGTGCATAGGGATATCAAAGTAAGTAACATCTCCCCAATTCCAGTTAGACAACATCCTTGTTCATGAGGATGGATCATACAAGCTTTCAGACTTTGGATGGGCAACCCAAATATCTTAAATCAAGCCTATACTATGTGGTACCACCGAGTATATGCCTCCAGAAGTTGTCAATAACTATATTCATGACCAAAAAGTAGATTCCTGGTCTTTAGGAATTGTACTCTATGTATTAATATCATATATCTCAGATTCTGACACATTGCAGAAAACCTTTTTCAGCTAAATCAGATCGTGAATTAATTAAATTAATTTCTGAAAATGAAATTAAAATTGATACCTCATTAGATGAAAATCTTTAAATCCTCATTCAAGCATTACTTACTAAAGATCCTATATATAGACCTAATATCTAATAGCTTTATTTCAGCAAATGGATAAAATTCTAAATGAAACTTCATAACATATTTAATAAATATGAGCATGAAAAACTAAAACATAAATTTATTAATCAAAAGATTGAAATCAAATCTGTAGATAATCGGTATTATATTATAATTAAATTTTAGTGCTATCTAATAGAGAAGAAAGACTATCACTTCAGACACTTCTCTATCTCATAGTATTAGTACTTAGTTGAGTAATTGTGATATGAATGAATCCGGAGTAGTAGAAAAATAGAAATAAGATAAACTATGACTTATTAATATATAATTATCCAAATTATTGGAATTCTTAATATTTACAGTTGTGCATAGAATTTTAAGAGTTTATATTATTAACATAAAAGGGTTACTTAATTAACTGTTTTTATTATTATATTATACATACTAAACATAAAAATATTAACAATCCTTAAAGAAATCTTAATGATTAATATTATATGATGATTAAATATTATAAACAAATTATTGAGAGTAGTCTTTATAATTATTTTTGCATTATTATCAATATTGACTCATTTTTCAAAGTTCAAGATATAGTTAAATATACCTTATGATGATTTATGATCTGTATGATTGTAATTACAAGTTAAATATCATCAATTCCTAAGAATATTGAATCCTGAATGTTCTCTAAATTATTATTGGCCATGTGTTGATGTTAGATGCAAAAATAACGCTTTTGATGGTGACAAAAGGTTGGATTTGATATTATATTATTTGTTTATAAGCAAATGTTGTTCTATTTGGGTTGTATCTTGAGGGAGATGGTAGTATAAATCCCACTTTATGAGGGGAAAAATTTAAAAAGAAAAAAACATTTTTAATTATAGATATGGCCTAGCATCTGTAGGACAGTGAACTATTAACAGCAAAACCTACCCTTCATAATGGATAGGAAATGGTTATTTAGGGTTTGGGTACACAAGAACAAAGCGATTCTAGCTTTTCATCCCAACATTTATGTTCTGTAAATAAATCAGACTTAACTTGATTAGAGCCAATAGAGCAGTCACAGGAACATCAATCTTAGTCAGAGTTCATTTAAGAAGATCAGTAAGAGTAGTTCGGATCTTTAGAATTTCTCAAACAAACATGCCCACATCTGTGCCCATTATAATTTCCTTGGTAGATGTCCCTTAGAACATTGCAAGTATACTTATTATGTTATTATTTATAGAAAAAGACATATTTTTATATCTGAAGATGATGGTTTAAGTGAACTAATATCAGACAACATTGATTTAATAGATAACCTCACAAATAGCGGAAACAAACTTAAATTGCCACACTCTACTTATGGAACTTAGTTATCTAAATATAGAAAATGTAAATCCAATACAAAGGAATTTTGTGAGAAATTAGAACACAAATTCATAAGTTAGGAATAAATACATTTTGGCGATTTTCCTATATAAAATTTTTGGAATTGGAATGCATTTGCTCTACAGTCTTTTTCTATTAAGTCCTAACCAGATTTAGGCAATGATCCCCAAGACAATAAATATTTTAGCCAATTAATTAAACCAAAACCTCTTGTGGATTACAAATAGGCCTCAGAAATTTTAGAGAATTCTTCATCAGCTCTAAATATTTCGAATGAGATCAAAAAGAATTTAATGTCCAAGCTTAAATCTGACATTGATAAAATGCAATAAAAAATAAAGACTATTTCAATGTTGAAGAAATGGATAAACAATTAACAAGTGGATTAGAATGAGTATAAGAACTTGTATTCATCTCTTTCATAAATTCAATAGATCCATTATTCTAATTTCCTTAGGATCACTAACATTTCAATATCCAGTATTTATACCTTAATACAATTAGATTAAGCCAAATTCAACAATTAGTTTCAAAATGTCGAATACGTCAAATAATGAATTTTATCATTATTGCATGTATAGAGAGTTATGTGAATAATAAAATATTTAATATATCAATTGCTCTGATCAAGCGAGTTGCTTTTGTTTCTTTGGTCTTTAATTATACAAACCCGAGTTGTATCATCGAATTCTAGAAAATCATAAATGCTTGGAGTTAAATACTCTATTTTAGAAATAATTTGTCTCAACCAAATCTTTATCATAGCAATCTTTTCATTAAACATTTAATTGGTGTCAGGTCCATGGTGGAAAAAGTCATTTGGCAATTTATAAATCTCAAATCCAAATTTATCTTCTTATTAAAGCCTACTTTCAAGCATGACAAAATCATTGATGGTCTTTTTAAGTTGATAATGTTTATTAGGATTAGATAGAAATATTTTTAATGTTATTACTGCATCAATTTGACCATCCTTTTATTATACAATTTTCCAAGTCTTACTAAAATGAATAGTACATTTGAATTATGAATGACTTGAAGATAATCCAATAAAACTATTTTAGATAGGTATCATTTATTGTCTACTATCTTCATAATCAGGGACAGTCATTCCAAGTCCTGAGATGTCTTCGAATTCAATCTTATCCTATTTTCTGATAAAAATACTAAAAATGTTGAGACTAAATTGATCAACAATAATCAAATACAACACTATGTTACTCAAAATATCAAAATCTTTTTGGTTAATTACATTCAATATAGCCTAAACTATATTAGTTATTAAACAAATAATCCAAAATATTTTGTGAGTGAACATAATAGGGACATTTTTATTATATTCATATAAAATGCCTGCCACTTAAGTTGAATAGACTATACACATAAACATAAATATTTAAGAATAGTCTGATTTATATAAATAGAATTTTGGATTCAAAATAGAAACAAAGTTATAGGTTAATGTTAATAGAACACAAAGAATTAGTAAAAAGACTCTAACTTTTAAGGTAGCATTATATTGTCTATATTAATGATGGCCTGTATTTTTAAGTTAAATAAACCTAATAGTTAATAAAATGAGCATTGCAATTCCACTAAAAGCAGGTATATAGACATCAAAAATTCTATTCTGCATCAGAATAGTTTGATTAAATATTTAAAAAAATGGAATAATATTATTTAATATTGATTCAATATGTTTTAAATTATCATATTTTTTCTTAGAATGTGCTGTCTGATTTAGTTACTTTTTTATAGTCAGCTTATTAATAAATGTTGTAAGATGTTCCTTTTGGATACCAATTTTCATCTAAATTAAAATTTATAATAATATTAAACCTTCCATTTCTAATTGTTCTTAGATATCATCTTAAGACTTCCATAACTCTCTTCTACAGTTTGGATTTTTAGGTGAAGGAAAAACTCTATCACTTTCAGGAATATTGAATTGATCTTCAATGCCAACCATTTCACCTCCCCCTAGAAAAAATCATGACTTCATTTTACATTCGCATTCATATTCAAACCAAGTATTAGGAACACCCAAATCTAAATCACCTGTTGGTTTAATCATTGGATCAGACCACAAGAAAATTTCCCAATGATAATCTATCAATTCCCTTACTGGTGCAAACCCAACAGGTAATTTAGCCAAATCTTCCAATACTTGAACATTCCAAAGAATTTCAACCTTTTCACCTTTTGAATTCGTCACTACTTATCTTGCAACGTAAACACTGTTTGGAGTATAATCAACATCAAAACCACAATTATAAACTAGATATGCAAAATCAACTTATTCTTATGGTGTTAAACCCATATTCAAAATCTTTTCAACTTCTCTTCTTGTGATTCCTAACCATTTTTTATGATTGAAAATACCTGGTACTCTTCTCATAATTTCATCTGGATCCATCTAACAACTCCATGTTCCTTATCTACCAATTGAAGTGTTTTGCCATACAGCTCTTACATCTTCCATACTAGATAATATTAAAAAGAATGATAGTACGTATATGGACCATCATATGGAGGTAATGGTCCTGATTGTCTGACTGGATTAACATGTCTAACATTACGCACTTTGTATAATCAAGATTAATATACCTGGAAGTGGTACTTATTATGATTTAGCTATATCAGCAATTTCTTTGTTAGATTAGAAAAAGTTTGGATTCAAATAATGTCGATATCTGTTTGGATTGTAAGGCCCATCTATCATATATGAATAATCTCTTTACTTCTTGATGAGAAAGTATATTAAGGTAATGCTTTACGAAAACCAAAATTAATTGCACGATTGAGCATATCTATAAAAAAATAATTTATAAATCTAGACAAAGGAATTTTATGTATAAATTATATGTAATCTCCTTTAGTGATATAAAAATCATATTAATTTATTCTTATTCTATCATTATTATATTTTTGTACTTTCTCACACAAAGAGTACTTGATAATGTATATTAAAGAAATGCAAAATAATAATATTTATAATAAAACTATGGATTTTTAGGTTATCATAGAAAATTATCAAGAAAATGAAAATTCTCCAGGTTCATATGAGAAAAAATTTAAATCAAATACAACTATTAAGGATGTATTACAAGAATTTGGATTTGATTCTGCATATGTTGTTAATGTTTAGTAGGAAATTATAAAACCTTAAATTACATTAAACGAAATAAAAACTTTATATGATTGTGGCACTTAAGAGTAAAAATTAGTCTTAGAATTATTCTCCGAGGATAATAGTCATGGTACTTATATAAAATTGAAATACTCTTTTAATAACCCTGATAAAAGCAATATTATAAAATGGGATATTGAAAAATAAGATACAACACTATATTCATATTTTCTACACTTTAATCCTAAACAAATTATTCATAAAAATAAATCTATTAATCCTTAATTAAGTCTTAAAAACATAAAATAAAATGCTGATGATGAGGTTGAACTTATTATCTTAGATAAGGAGTTAGATTAGGATGAAATCTTAGTTATAATTTATTCAGATCAATTTTCATAGAAAGTAGGTACTTATGACCTAGTATAAAATCAGCAATAAAATATTGGAGAAGCTGCTTTATTAAGTAATATAAATTAGGGATTAGAAATTTAAGAATAAATAATATATTATTAGATTGAGAAAAGGTCAGTTACTATAGAAAGCATTCTCTAGAAATTAACAAACTATAATATTTTTGCACTTTAAAGTAGTAAAGGAGTTTTAGATTCAAAAAAGACTTTAGGTTACTATTTCAAAATAGATTTATAATGTAAATTATTAATTATACAAAATAAACTTCCAGTATAAAACATATAAATAGAGTAAGGGAAGGTTTTGGTAAATGTATTTTAACAGGGGTAATTGATATTGAGATAATTATTTGATTAATTCTATAAGTTATCTATGGTTTAGAAACA